ATAATAAAGAGCGCTGGCCTGAAGTCTTGGTGAAAGAAGAACGCACTGAAGATCCATAGTTACAACTCTGTAGGTATTGTCAGATATCGACTTTTCCTTGTCTCTGTTCTTTTCGTCTCTTGCAGCTTGTTTCCTTGACAAGTGTTTCTGAAACACTTCCTCTTTAATATTGCCAGTTTCAAACCCACAGCACAGATCACACTGGTCTTTTTTTGGAGAAAAAAGACTCAGATTTTGGTCATCAAACTCGGATTTAAACAACTTAAGACACGCTGCTTTCAAGCTATTTTCATCACAATATCGTTTGTATTCATGATGCAACTCCGTCAGTGTAGTAAAAAGAGGTTCCAAGTATTGCTTAGAGCTTGAGGACCTGCAGTAATGAGACTCTAGTTTCGGAAGTGTTTTCAAAAAGTCAACAACACTCGTCCTTAACTCTGCGTCTCTTTTTCTCCTCGTGTCTCCTTTCTTAGATGGAGGTGGATTGATTGGAATACCTGTGCTCGACATATTGACCCAACCATAAACAGTTTGTTCTCCTACAGCCAAAGTTGTTAAAAACATACTTTTACATACCACAACTTTTTCCTGGCCTTTCCACAATCTATAAACAAAGCTATGGCTTTTCCTACTTTCGGCTGCTGCTGTTCTTTTTCTACTTGTTTCAGATTTAGACACCAGCGAGTTGACATACACTTTTCGTTGATTCCAGTCAAGGTTATTCCAAAATTTATTAAAAATAACAAGCCTGTCATCTTCACTAAATTCTGCACACATTTTAACTTTTGAGTTTTGGCATTTTTTGGAACAACCTTTTGGGGCCAATATGCGACCTGGTCTTTGAGCCGAAAACTGATATTTGCCGTCTTTTTTTGTCAGTCCAGAATACTGTTTTCCTGACATTCTCAGCATTTTGTTTTTGTTTTTTACCCATTCATTACTATTACATTTCTTCCTTTTGACTGGTTTCTCATCGACAACTTCCTCATGATCTACCTTCATATCTTCATCTACAGGATCATCAGCATCACTCTCTGGTACGTAATCTGGATCATCAAAACTGTCATCAGCTTCTGAAAAATCATGTTCTGTTTCATCCAAAGTATTTTCTTGTAGATTTTGCCTTTTGCTATTTGGAGATTTGACGTTTAAACTAGAACCAGAAAATTCATTATCTGTTTCCAGAAGGGTCTCATAGCAAGTAATATCTGGAATATCTGCATCACTAGGAGCAATATCTGGAATCTCATTTACATTGGTAGCTGTAATTGTACCACCCTGGATTCTATAATGGACGCCTTCTTCAGATTTTTTCGGAATACTGCCACTTACTCCATTATTTTGAAATGAATCCGTTTCTGTAAGTGTCTCACAAAAATCAAGATCAGGAATTTTGTTTACACTGGTAGCTGTAATTGTACCACGCTGGATGCTAGAAAGGACGTCATCTCCAGAGTTTTTCGGAATACTGTTACTTACTTCACTATTTTGAAATGAATCCGTTTCTGTAAGTGTCTCACAAGAAGCAATACCAGGAATTTCTTTTACACTGGTAACTGTAATTGCACCTCCCTGGATACTACAATGAAGTGCCTCACAGGAAGCAATATCAGGCATTTCTTTTGCAATTGTAGCTGTAATTGTACTACCCTGCACTGTACAATGTACGCCATCTCCAGAACTTGTGTGGGTGTTGTATTCATTGGTGTTACTTGAGTTTGATTTGTCCGCATTCTGTCTTGCAAGACGAACCATTAACATACCCCGTGAAAGCATATTTTTGATGTTTCAAAAAGCCACAGCATTAGCAACCGTTTTTACAGTTTGGATGGAACTTAAATTCAATTTGCTCATATGAATTGCCCTTTCTTGATATAACTAAATATCTAGGTGTCGAGGACGGAAACATACTGTAATAAAAATATTGCATAAAATTGTATTGGGTGTTGTTTGTCTTTGCAAATGTTCCATTTTCACGTTCCCTCAGTAACTCCAACTGCGAGTGCTCATAGTGTTTGAAGTTAATCAAAGTTTTTATATCGGCGCCGTTTCGTTTCCAAACGTTACTCATACTTAAAGGATCACATGCCCCAGCCACAGTCTGCACATAAATAGTCCTCTACGAAGTCACCTTCTGTTAAATTGTCAGGTAAGTTTTCTACGCACTCATAATGGAAATATCGGTGACAACAGAGACACCATAACCAAATTTTTCCATCAGTATCAGTAAAAACATACTGTCCAGTTAACTGTTGATCTTCTAAATGAAAAGGATTTTTTGCAACCCTATCACATTGGCAACATGTCCATATTCTTTCAAAGTCTTCACAAGAAGATGTTGACATTACTACCTACAATATAATAAGCACAGCATCACTCAAGTGTCCCAACCAGACGCTACGAGTGTTACGTCATAAAATAGACAAGCAATATCAATGTCCCCTTCAATACAAACACAAAGTTACGTTTGTTATGTAAGAAGAAATTTTATATTAGGATTCATTACAGTCATGACTATATTGAAAGTACCTGTAGTAAGTTTTCAAGCTTTTTCCAGTCAATTCAGGACAATGCCTATAATTTCTTGTTCGTAATTTAGTCTAATAGTCTGTATGCTATAAAATGCCGTGTAATTCTGAGATAAAAATACTTGTATTATTTCTTAAAAATGAGCTTCTATTGGAAGACAAAATATAGTATGTCCAAACTTTGCTAAATAGAAAGCGAAGTGGAAACACTTTCAAAATGTCGTATGTCCATCAAATCACAAAAAAATATGGGAAAACTGAGGGTGGTGATAGATCCAAATTGTCTTAAGTGGATATATGGAGTAAAAGAACCCAATCGCTGTTTAGAAACTAGGCAGTAAAAATGCAGTTTTAAAGACAGAAGTAAAATGCATCAAATTATCGTATGTGACATACACCCCAAGAAAGAGGTCTAAAATATCGTATGTGAAAATAAACTTACTAAAGTTATACGTCTCGTTTTAAAAAAAGAAAAATAAATAAATTGAAATATTTCTTGTTTACTATACAGCTCATTAATGCAGTCAAATGCAAAAAATTACTCACAGAATATCGTCAAATGGTCCTCGGCTCCGATGAACAAGTTAGACCTTCTCATCACACGTTAATTCAATGGAGATGTGACATACGAGATCTTGTCACGACTTTCATTTGGACCAATGCAAGTACAATTTTTGAACACATGGTTATATCTCAAAATTTCATTGGTGCTGCATTACAATATTTTGTCAGGAGGTGCATTTTAATTTGTAAATTGGCGCTATGTGAAAAAGCTGTTTTCCACAAAAATGGACTTACGAGGTTTTGTCAGCCAGCCGACGATATTTATCCCTATTTTCTTCCCTTACCTGGTTATTACAGGCATACATCCTGTACACATTAATTCTCACTGTTTGTATGAAGAATAAAATGCTGTAGTGCGTTTGTTGTTGTATGGTAGGAGGTAAATTTGGGAACTCCTGACCTTATAAATCAGCATGTTAAACCCAAAATGATTAGAAGTTTTCTCACGTCTTCAACATATACATTTTCTCACTTAATTTCTTAAAACAAGGACACATTTATACCTGTACTTGTTTGAAATTTCCTTAGTTGACAAACTGTGCTGTTCTTCCATAGCCTCTGGGATCGAACCTGTGTTATTCTGGCATTATGTTTGGAATGTATTCCTTTTACTGATGCCGAAGACTAGAATAAGAGATATGTGTATCATTTCAAAGACTTCTTTAATTATGACAACACACAACACATGTTATATGCTATCTGCTTAATGAAAAAACATGTTCAAGCAATGACAACAATGGAACATTAGATTCGGTCTAGCTGTACTTCAATGCCAGTAAATGCATATACATGGATAAATGACTAAGTAATAACAACAGTATGGACAAGAGAATTGTCAAACTTTGAGGCAATCTGCCATTTATCAAGACACAAATGTTACCTAAAATACATCACATACATAGAACATAAAACAAATACAAAGTTTAGTAACTCTTATGCAGGGTCGTACTGAAATAGAAACACACAAATTTTGTTTAAAAATTTGCAACAAAAAGTGTGACAATGTAAATAATTGCTTAGGAAATGTTCATTTCCGCCATCTCTATAGCTTTGAGTTAAAATGACAATTTATATCACCGGCTTTGTTTTCCATTGCCAATAGTGTATAGCCAGTAGCAGCATTTAGTGCAAATATCAAAGGTGAGCATGAATTTACTTGTGTTCTATTTTCTTAGTCACACTACAAGCAGTTGGTAATCAATGGAGGTAATATAGTTTGTGATTTTTACAGAAAGCTAGACAATCATATTCACAACTTTTTGTGTGAAAATGTAAAATGTTGCATTGGTTATTGGGCCACGTCAAACATATGACACCCATGTTTTATTGTTTATGTTTAAAAGAACTTTGGTGTTTCTATTTCAAATGACCCCGCATTTGAGTAACTAAATGATTACCCAACTATATCCCTCAAATACAGGACTATTGCCAATATCAGGCGTTGTGTCCAACATGTTTTTAAGGAGCAAAAATATCATATGATGTCGTGTTAAAGATAGTGATTCAAGTATTCTTTCTAGAAATCTCAGTACAATAGCCGCTGAGCGTATATGTGTTTCGAGTGTCATGTTCCGAGGATACATGGATAACCTGGCTAACGCCAGATGATGAAGCTGATGAATGCAAAACTGGAAGCTAATATTTGATTCAAATACTCGGGCAAAATTTCTGTTCATCATATTTTGACCAAAATTACTTACAAGTAATCGTGTTCGACAAAGAAAATCTCTTGAAAGACGCCTGGCAGCTTGAACACTTGCCATCTTACAACTCATGAAAAGTTGTTTTGCAGTTTTGCAAGGTGCCCGTGGAGCTGTTAATTGAGGATCTGCAAAACGTTTGAATGGTACGTCCCAGCGATGCAAGCGTTTTAATGATCTCTGTATTTACCGAAACCGGACGTCAACAACATTCAACATTGATGAACATCCGAGAGATGAAAACCATTTAGTCTAAATCACTGTTGTAATATGGGTTGATGAGTTTTGTATGGATAATCTGTTTCATAGTTATAGTAGACTTTTTTCATAATGGAGAAATATGAAAAAATTCGTGTCGTCGGAAGGGGAGCTTATGGGTAATAATACCTCATTAGAGCTAATGTTTCACTGTTTTAATGCACCGACTTTAACTAAAACTTTTGAACTTTAAACTTTGAAACAGGCTTATAGTCCGTGAACTTGCATATCTCTTTACAAAGAACAGTGTATACGATAAGTTAAATATGGACCTACATGTAAGATATTAAAAAGCAACAGGAATGGAAATTCAAAGTTTAACTGAAGAATTGAACATAGAACCTGGAAAAGGAGGACAAGCAACTACTCTGTTACAATATTTAAAGACAGTGATTTACTTAAAAGTTACATTCATATGCTTTCACTTTTTTGCAATGTTTTTAAAGAGTATGGGATGGAGAGCTAACAGAAAAGGAAAAATACAGAAACTCGTAAAATTTAACAATATTCCAATTTTGATATTCAAATATAAAATGGATGACTTTGTTATATATTATTTGTGATTGGCTTGATGTTAAAAGGAAAGTCCCAAAATCAGGATAATACAAAACATAAACAAACATAATGAGAAGTCAAGGATTTCAGGTGTAAAAAAATTTATCAAAATACAGTGAATACAAATATGAATAAAATATACATTTTTCTCACTTGCAGAATAGTCCATCTTTGTCGGAGGTTGGCAGACAAGAAGTTGGTGATCATCAAGCAGATTCCAGTGGAACAGATGACCAAAGAGGAACGGCAAGCTGCTCTGAATGAGGTCAAAGTCCTTTCTATGCTGTCACATCCAAACATCATACAGTACTTTGAGAATTTTCTTGAAGACAAGGCCCTTATGATTGCCATGGAGTATGCTCAAGGTTTGAATTTAGAAATCATACTTTTTTTATTTTCAGTCTGAAGAATTTAGTAGAATTTAGAAGTTAGATTTCTGCTAAGACAGTATGGTAATTGGTACTTTCTGATTTAAAAGATTTTTCATAGAAAATAAACACTGCATTTTGCAAGACTGGATCATTTTGAAGTAAACTTTAATTTGTAATACATGTTTAGCAATAATATGATGTTGGAAAAGCCAGTATGCAGTTATAATATGTTGGTTAAGACAGATTTCAATTAAGTAAGATGTCTGTAAAATGTTAGTGGAGACAGATTTCACTGTATACTCTGTTGACTGTACATGTTTATAGGTGGAACGCTGAGTGAAGTATTACAACAGAGGAACAATAACTTACTAGAAGAGGAGGTCTGTATAACCATCTATATACATTAAGAGCTACATGTAATCTATTATGATTCTATTTTAAATAACATAGTATAACTTATAATAAACATTTTCACAATTATCTATTGTTCTGTCTTACACAAATTATCCTGCTTCCATTCAAATGTATCCTCAGGTCATTTTCAATCTGTTGACTGTTAAAAATTTCTTAAAGGAAAATTAAATTAAATTAAAATTAAACTGAAATTAAATTTATCATTGCAAAGCCTTTTAACCATGAGAATTTCAGATACAGGAATTTATTTCTGAAATAATGGTTTTCATTTCTTGAGATGTTAAGTATACATTATTATAAATACTTACCTAACTATATTTGTTGATACATTTTATAAAGCACTCACTACATAATTGTATTCCACTGTTTGTAACTTCTGCCTTATGGTAGATACCTAGCAGATATCTAACAACAGTGTTATTACACAGGACATCCTGAAGTATTTTGCCCAGATGTTACTGTCCCTACAACATGTACACTCCAAGCAGATCTTACATCGGGACCTAAAGACTCAGAATATCCTGCTGGACAGGAGGAAGGAAGTGGTCAAGATTGGTGACTTTGGTATATCTAAAGTGCTCAGCAGCAAAAGCAAGGCATACACAGTAAGTATAGTGGCAAGAACTGCAAAACCATTTCTTTTTGTGGGGGATCTATTTTTGTTTGAATCTACTGTTTATCCACAAATTTATATGTCTGTGAAATAATAAACAGGTAAAAGTTGGAATAGATCACAAGATTTATCCATGAATCAATTCAAACAAAAACGTATATTTTTGGAAAACCACAAGATTTGAGCCTCATAGAAATATATGATATACAGTATATATGTAATTATGTTTCCACCCTTTGGTGTACTGCAGTTTTAATACAGTAGTTTTAGTCATAGTAGAAAAGATATTTTAACATGAACTACAAATTATGATTACCTATTTTCATTAGAGATCATTTTCAATAATATATGTTTTTTCCTTGAAATATTGCAGTCCGCTTCATATAACCACTGACTTCTTTTTCAGGTTGTTGGAACACCATGCTATATTTCTCCAGAACTTTGTGAAGGAAAACCGTATCCTTTCGTTTTTTTTTCATCATTGTTTGACTTTTATTCGACACTGCTTCAGTGCTTTATTAGGTCAGCTGACCAGAAGGGCTAGGATGACCTATATCCATTATGCTTCATCTGTCGTTGTGTGCTGTCCGCCACACGTAAACTTTCCATTCAAATGACTTCTTCTCAATAACAGAAAGGCCCAGGTGTTGGTATTTGGCTTGTAACATGCAGGGATGTAGTGCTACCAAGTTTGTTCATATTATTGACCTCGACCTATTTTTAAAGTCACTAGTACTGTCAAATATGTCAAAATCTTAAAATGACTTCTTTTCAATAACCTAAATACCAAGGGTGTTGATATTAGCCCTGTATTATCGTAAAAAGATCCAATTATATTTCAAGGAATTGAAATTTTGCGATTTGGATTTAAAAGGACATCAAATACAGGTGTGTCTCATTATTTTACAGGTTAAGAAAAAGGTGCAATAGAGATTGTAAGGTTTGTTTTAGGGCAAAAGAATTTTGCATGTTTCACACTGATGCCATTACACGGTAACCTAGATCTGGTTCACTCTAAAATCTTATTCAACCTTGACTTTGATAAGTTATAATCAAAAGAGTGACATCTGGGCACTGGGCTGTGTATTATATGAACTTGCCAGTCTCAAAAAGGCCTTCGAAGCAGCTGTAAGTTCTTAGGATCATTTGAATGAATGGTCTCAATGCTCTTTTGAGGCTGTTTTTGTTAAAAAAAAAAAATTCAATTCTGATGTCAAAATGTTAACACAGTCTGTCAATCAGTCAAATTAAAGTGGATTGAAAAATTTTGCATTCAACTTCAACTGCATTTTTTAAAAAATCTATTAAATTTATGAAAAGTACAAAGTTATACCCAAGGTTTTATTGTTATTTAAGATATTGATTTTAAATATTTAGAATCTCCCAGCTTTGATCCTGAAGATTATGCGTGGAACATTTGCACCAATTTCGGAGACATACAGTGAGGAATTGCGGTCCCTGATCTTAAGTATGCTTCATCTGGACCCAAACAAACGACCACACATCAATCAAATCATGGCCCAGCCAATTGTATCCAATGCCTTGCTTAACCTTCACACTGAAATGGGGAAGCTGCCATGTTCTAGGTAATAACAAGGATACGGGTAATTTGAAACCCTGTGTTATTAGAGTTGGTTTCTATTAGGTGCACAGGACCTCTTGATAACCTTGACCTGGTAATATGTTGTACACAGTCATATTTATCTATAGGATAAATTATCTTATAGTAAATATTTTAGTTTATTTATTTATTTTTTTTTTAAATGATATAGTGTAACCTAAAAGAGAATTTTTAATTTTAGAGTTCACCGACCAATGCCAACTCCAGCCATTAACCGTCCTCACCGAGGGAACAAGAGTTCCAGAGGTAAGTGCTGGTGCACAACACAACGGTTATTAAAACACCTTCATTCTGTTGGGTTATGTTTCCTTATCTGTACAAAAATAACATTATCTATTTCAAGCTGTATATCATGTTAATTGTAATAATATATGGTGATGTACTTGTAGTTACTAAAACTGTTATATTTCAAAGCTGTCAAGTCAGTCTAATATAGTTGTATACCTCTATGACTCATTTTTACTGGTAACTAATTTTACATTATGGTCCAACTTTCACTTTGAAGACAAATACAGATTAACTTAATATATAACCAAGATGGTTTAGATTCAGATAAAGACATCAGTTCGTTAAAACCTAAAACTTAAGCATCTAAATTTCCTACGGATGTGACTTTGTTTATAAAATATGTAATGCTGTTTTCTTATTTAAACTCCTTTTGTATTAGTTTATCGGAAAATAGTTGTACAATATAGTTCAACTTTCTTTAGACACTCTATCATCTAAACCGCCATCCATGAGCTCGGTCTACTGTTGGGGTAATGGGATGACATCTCCAGTGAAGCTACCCCTTCCCACCATCGACACACAAGTCACCCAGGTGTCCACTGGTCGCTCACAACGTGCTGCCATCACCAAAAATGGACGCTTATTTGTATGGGAGGTGAGAAAATGATGTAAAATACTGTGTATAAGATGTAATTTCTTAAATCCTTGCCATTTTTCTGATAATGGTGATAGGCTTAAACTATAGAGACATCACATAACTGGCTGCATTGCAGGAAAAACTTCTAAGAGATATTGTTACATGTCCATCTATCCTGTCCCATCCCATCCTGTCCCATCCTGTAACAAATCAATGGCATACCTGGGATTTGGTTCATATTTAGCCTATGTATCATAACATAACATTTTACACCTGATCAGATTCTAGTTTGCATAGGAATAAGGGTATATCAATGTCTTAAAGACATTTTCTAGTTTGCAGAAAGATTTGTACAAATTCGTTTTTCAGGAAATCACATTCATGCCAATTAATGTAAATTTGTTGAAAGACATTTCTGTTGCTGTGATGGGTTTAAAGAAGAGTACAAAATAACTCTTTTAAGAAGGGAAAGTTTGAAAATTAATTTTCCAAGGTCTGACAATGTTTGGATGAAGTGATTATGATATAGTGAATATTTGAGCATTATATTGATTTCTGTACAAGGGATTAACACCCTGTCTTGATAAAAGCAGTAAGTTATGTCTGTTTAATGTGTTTTTAGGCCTCCGTTGGAACAGATAATTTGATGCCAGGAGCAACTGAAGGTCAATCTCTAGGGTTCATCCCTCGGTATCTAGAGGGCCAGTCTGCTGTCAATCTACAGCATGTGTCGTGTGGAGACCTTTTCACGGCTTGTCTTACAGGTAATGTTCCACAAAGTCTATAAAAACAGATCAAATAATAAGTGCAGCCTTAATTAATCCCACAGATTATTGTAGTTGTAAATCATGAATCCTAGTGAACTATTGTCAAAGGTAAAATATGTTTCTCAGAAACCTTTAAAGCTGAATGTGAAATGTTAAAAATGTTATCCAGAGGGTTCAGATATCTGTCTGAATTACACAGAGGTTATCAGTTATTTTTTCACACTTTCCTACCATTTTTTCATGGAAGCTGTTGTTACAGACTGTACAACTCATCATTAATTGCTGATGAAATGCATGTAAAAACTTATCAAATTGTGACATAACACCACATACAACGATGACAACCACTATTGTGAATTTTGAATTTTTATTAGTGCTTGTCAGCTGTCTTTTTCAAAAGGTGGATTATTCGTCCCTGAGAAACTGGGGAATGCACCCTGTGAATGGTGTGAGAAAACTCAGAGATCTCCCTTATTTTACTGCAAATAATTTGGGAAATAAATAAAATGATAATACTAAATGTTAGAGTATGTCTTTCTAGCTAACCATGAATCTTATATTGCTGTAGATCGAGGAATCTTGATGACTTTTGGAAGTGGGGCTAATGGGTGCCTAGGTCATGGAAACTATAATGATGTTGTACAGGTAAGATGGAAATTGTGACTTTGTAAGGTAGAATGTGACAAAAACATACAAGTTATTAGAATGTCTCATTTATAAGGTGATAATGAATGTTTTGTTATGATTGACAACAGGCAAAGATCGTAGAGTCCCTTCTAGGCTATGAGGTGGTGCAAGTGTCATGCGGTGCCACCCATGTACTAGCTGTGACCAATGAACATGAAGTGTTTGCCTGGGGCAGGGGTGATAATGGTAAGCTAATTTCATTTTAATGAAAATAGGACAGGATGTGTAAAGATGCTTTAGAGTAGATGTTACTCAATACCTTTTTGGTTATAACTGAATTCTCCCTTTATGGAAACTTTCACATATAAATTTCTTTTCAGTGCCTTTATCAATATCAGTAGAGATTTTTGCCAAAAGATGTTATTGTAATACATGTATTATGAAACATGCAATTAAAACTTAAACTTATTAACAGGCAATGACAAAACAATATCATTCTTTCCTATAACAGAATGCAATGCATGTTATTTCAATACATATTTCTGTTAAATGCTACTCTTGTAAATTTTCTTGTTAGTATCACATGATTCCTTTTGAACAGTACATGCCACTAAGAAAAATGTGTAAGCATTTCGCTATACCTTTTTTTTTTTTTTTTTACACTTTTGGTATATTTTTTCCACTGACCTTGACCTCATGTATGTGACCTTGATACAGGTCGTCTTGGCCTCGGTAGCCAGGACTCGTTCTCTACACCTCAGATGGTCTCTGTGCCAAAACCACACCATCCATCCTCTGTTCACTGTGGTATGGATTGCTCAATGATCCTAACATTGGACAATAAACTTCTGTGTTCTGGCAGCAACAGGTAAACACCTTATCTAGTTTTAAAAGTTGAAAACTTATTTAACAGTTATGATAATGATTTCATTCTCTCAAGACAAGGAATCATATTGTCAAACTCTGTAACTGTAAGACAAATATTTTTCAAGTATTGATTAAACCTCGTTAATGTTAGCTGCAAAGAGATTGATTCGTTTTCCCACATCTTGTTCTCTGGGTGTGAAGATCATTGAACATTGAAAATCAGAAATAAAGAGTCCCTTCGTTAATTTTTCTGCAGAAAATATTAACCATAGTATTAATAGAAAAAATTTTCAGTACAATATCAATGTTGACATTTTTCCCGCAACAATTGTTTTGTTACTAAATTTCAACTTTTATCGTCATGTGACTATGATTATTTCAGATACAACAAGTTAGGCCTCGATGAGATAGGACCTGATGGTACCTGTTCTAAAGTGGTAGAAGATATTTACAACTTCATGAGCATCACATCACATCCCATCAATGAGATGGCAGTAAAGATGGTGGCATTAGGGACATCGCACACTGGTGTTGTAACATGTGAGTATTGGATGTTGTAGAATCAAAAGAATCTTTCACTCCGATTGGAGATGAGATAGGACCTCAGCTTGAGGGAAAAAATTATTAGATTAATAAACATTTGACTTGCTGAGTATTTGCAACTTTTAATGATTTCTTCTTGAGGGTTGAGATCACACTATCTCACATGCGAAGGGTTGAATGATTATTTTTCTCTTACTCTGCTGACCTCTTTGAGTGTGTGATTTTTGTTGTCCAAGTGCTTCACATCGTTTGCTGTGACATCATTTATATACAAAAGGGTCCTTGAACTCTTACTGTGATATCATACCATTGTCCTGACAGGGGAATGCCCCCTCTTATCCCTTTGGTGAGACAAGGAAATCTCACTCAGGTAAAAAGTGTGGAAATACCTGTTCAAGGCAAGAGCAATACTTTTCTGGGGTAAGAGAAATACTTGTCCAGGGTAAGAGAAATACCTGTCCAGGGTAAGCGAAATACCTGTCCAGGATAAGAGAAATTCCTGTCCAGGGCAAGAGAAATACCTGTCCAGGGTAAGAGAAATACCTGTCCAGGGTAAGAGAAATACCTGTCCAGGATAAGAGAAATACCTGTCCAGGGTAAGAGAAATACCTGTCCAGGATAAGAGAAATACCTGTCCAGGGTAAGAGAAATACCTGTCCAGGATAAGAGAAATTCCTGTCCAGGGCAAGAGAAATACCTGTCCAGGGTAAGAGAAATACCTGTCCAGAGTAAGAGAAATACCTGTCCAGGGTAAGCGAAATACCTGTCCAGGGTAAGCGAAATACCTGTCCAGAGTAAGAGAAATACCTGTCCAGGGTAAGAGAAATACCTGTCCAGGATAAGAGAAATTCCTGTCCAGGGCAAGAGAAATACCTGTCCAGGGTAAGAGAAATACCTGTCCAGAGTAAGAGAAATACCTGTCCAGGGTAAGAGAAATACCTGTCCAGGGTAAGAGAAATACTTGTCCAGAGTTGGAGAAATACTTGTCCAGGGTAAGAGATATACCTGTCCAGGGCAAGAGAAATACCTGTCCAGGGTAAGAGAAATACCTGTCCAGGATAAGAGAAATACCTGTCCAGGGTAAGAGAAATACCTGTCCAGGATAAGAGAAATACCTGTCCAGGATAAGAGAAATATCTGTCCAGGGTAAGAGAAATACCTGTCCAGGGTAAGAGAAATACCTGTCCAGGATAAGAGAAATATCTGTCCAGGGTAAGAGAAATACCTGTCCAGGGTAAGAGAAATACCTGTCCAGGATAAGAGAAATACCTGTCCAGGGTAAGAGGTGTATAGATATATGTTTATTTGCTTTGCTCCTTTTGTATCAATTGCTTTGATTATACAGTTATGATTTACTGATAAAAATACTTCGAAAAATAATATATTGACTTCAGTGTATGTTTGTATTTGCTAATTGTATTTCGACAGTGGAGGGTCAGTGCTATGTGTTCGGGTCGAATCAGTTTGGACAGCTTGGAAATTCGGAGGGCACAAATCGCCAGATACAGTTAGTACGAGCTCTCCTAAACCAGAAGGTGACAAAGGTAGCATGTGGGGATACATTCACAGTAGCAAGTGTTGAAGGTAAGCAACTTTTTTAAAATTTTGAATGCAGATGAAATTTTAAGTATCAACAAGTGTTCCTAATTAACATGAGCTGTTTTTCATTTCCATTTCTTTTATTTTTAATCACATTTGTATTTATAATCATTCTCAGTAATTAGTCGGTGACATTGAAACCTTATTCATGAGAGTCAATACCTATTTATTCCAACAGATGTTCCATAATAACATACAGTTTCCAGATTATGATAAGAATATACATGTAAAATGAATACTATGATGGTATATCCTTGTTGTGGAGACTCTGTCGAAGGAGAGTTATGATCTTAGATGAACTGTTGATAGTAATTATTTATCAACAGGTGGAGAGGTTTACTCATGGGGGAACAGTGCCAGGGGACGACTAGGACGATCAGAAACCGACTCTACACCAAAAAAAGTCAATCTTTCCCCAGATGAACTCTTCTCAGTCGTATCAATATCCTGTAACCATGGAAACACATTACTGGCGACCAGACGTAAGTTAAACCTTGTATACTCAGAGATTCAGTATGAAGACTGGTTATATACCCTGTGTATTGAGATTTTTCTATCATGATTCTTTCCTACTTCGATCCCCCCATCCCTCTCTCACCTGTAGTTTTATCTTCATTAGAGTAAGTAATTCTTATATTCTTTGCATCAGAGTATAAAAGGTTAACAGTTTGTAATTAAGATATAGGTGTCATTCTAAGGTGAAGAAATTTCCACTATCGTACTTTTTGTGACTGTATTATGTCATGTAACTTCCAAGTTTTTAGGTTTATGACCCTACCATCTATTTTTTTACTACAACATCGCTGTCAACAGTTCCCATCATTTCTAGATTGTGTAGTTTATGCATGTAAGAAGCAATATACACTGTAGTCTATATCACTTCAGTTGTGGTTTTGAGATCACAATAAAAAGATATTTAAATAACATAACATTTAGGCAGCATCCCTTTGTATTGTAGGTAACAGCTTAACATACTTTGTAGATGCCACAAATGATCGTGCAATTCCTTATGAATAGAAACAGAAAGTAATATAGGTGATGATGATTGACAATTCATATTTTGTATTAATTCATTCATAAATGGTATTTATTTACTTGTATAATTTCAGCTGTTCAAAGAACTGACAGCCCCTCAATGGAATCATGACATCTTCGCATTTAGGAAGTGTCACTATAGCTTCTGTATAAAATGAGTCCCTCCATACAGCAATTTTGTCAGTGTACAAATACACCATCCATACATGCTATGTTACCTGTGTATAAGGACCATCCCTTCATGAAGCATTGCTGGCAGTGTACAAGGACCTTCCCTTTATGCAATGCTGCCTGTGTATCAGGACCGTCCCTCCATGGAGCAAATGCTGTCTGTATATAAGGAACGTCCGTCCATGCCATAGCCTGTGTACAAGGACTATCCCTTAAAGGAGCATTGCTGCCTGTGTATAAGGACCATCCCTTTATAGAACATTGCTGTCTGTGTATAGGGACTGTAAGGACTATCCCTTTATAAAACATTGCTGCCTGTGTATAAGGACCATCCCTTTATAAACTATTGCTGCCTGTGTATAAGGACCATCCCTTTATAGAACATTGCTGCCTGTGTATAAGGACCGTAAGGACTATCCCTTTATAAAACATTGCTGCCTGTTTATAAGGACCATCTCATTATAAAACATTGCTGTCTGTGTATAAGGACTGATCCTTCATGGAGCAGTGCTGCCTGTTGACATCCTCTACTGTAATTTCTGTCCACAGAACAATGATCAGCTTCCAATGGAGGAATAACATCTTTCTACAAACTGATTGTCTATAACAATACCTTTGTATTTCAACCGTCCATATTAATACCTTTGTATTACAACCGTCCATAACAATACCTTTGTATTACAACAGTCTATAACAATACCTTTGTATTACAACCGTCCATAACAATACCTTTGTATTACAACAGTCTATAACAATACCTTTGTATTACAACCGTCCATAACAATACCTTTGTATTACAACCGTCCATAACAATACCTTTGTATTACAACCGTCCATAACAATACCCTTGTATTACAACCGTCCATAACAATACCCTTGTATTACAACCGTTCATAACAATACCCTTGTATTACAACCGTCCATAACAATACCCTTGTATTACAACCAATTCTCAGTGTAACATGTAGTACACACTGTCCCTCCATGGAATTGTGATGAATTTTGATACTAGAAAGTAATGTTTTTAGAAGCTGAAGTATTTTGTCTGCTTTATTATGTACTTGCTTTATGTATTCATAGACCATTGATCATGTATCATTGACTGGCATCTACGCAGATCCGTCCTCAATCTCACTGTGATAAAAAAGATGTACTGAAAACTACAAGTCTTCATTGTTTATTTGTATTGAAGGTCTTTCCATGACTATTGAGGATAACTCATATTATAATACAAATGTACAGGGAATGTCAGTCCCTTGACAGTGGCAGGATAAAATCATCTGCATTTTACTCGAGTGGGTCACTTACACTGCTCAGGATGGTAATCTTTTCAGGAACACCAATTCTCATAGTACTTTTCAACAGTCTTTTCTTTGTTTATATTATGCCCATTTGAATCCTGTTATGTGTGTGAATTATGACTTTGTTCTTATCTCAGTATTCTCTCGCTGTTTTTTAAAAATGTGTTCCTACCTGGTGAGATTGGTAAGGTCATTCACTTTCCTTTGAAATTTGCCTGCTTGGCCTAGTAATCTTATTTTGGAATTTATCCCTGTACAAGTGACATCTGCTTCACTTGGATGATCTAGTTTTTCTTGTTTGCTGATTAGAATTGTTAAAAATGCTTCTCTCCGACTGTGACAAGCCAGTATTCCAGTTATCAATATATCAGTATCTACAGTATACATGTTTGTATCAGTAAACATTTTACTCACTTACACAAAAAAACCCAACTTATTGTAATGCAAGGTTTCCCATAATTTTGTTAGTAGTAGGCTGTGTAGTGAAAGTAGGAGGCTGGCCTGCCGTGTACGTGTAGTCGTATACGGAACATTATTATGGAACTGAATTGGTGTAGGCGGCCAAATGATCAAAGTAGCCAGTCAAATTGGCCGGCAACCGGCTCTTATGGAAAACCCTGGTAATGATTGTGAAATCACAACTTCTGTGTTCAAGTCCTATATAATAATTACCATATTGTCGGTTTCACAAAGTTTTATTTAATACCATACAACATCACACCAAACTTAAAAGTTCAGTGACTTTGTATAAGCAGCACAGACTACAGCAAAGCATGTATACAATGTATGATAATTACAATGTGATAGATATATCCATTGTTGACATGTTCCAGCATGTATGACGGTACACCAATACTGTATGTACAAGGTACAACATAAAAATCACTAGTCTGTGATTTACATGGTAGTATCCATGATAAAATCTGATTGTGACATTACATCAAATGAAAAATTAGAGGTCAACAAGGTTACATTTCATGCATTACATACACTTTTTGTATAAAAAATGTCAAATGAAGTAGCCTTAGTAAATGTTCAAAGTGATTTTGAATACAGATGTGAACTTCAAAACAAAAACAAAAAAGAAAAAAAATGTCCATAGACAAAATGGAGTTTAAGTAAAAAAAATTGGTCATTTTGTCCCCTTAGATGAGATTAAATCCTTTTAAAAATTGTTATGATTTACTAAGAGAAGTTAGCACTATGAGGATTAATCATGTTTCAAAATGATTACATACTAGAATATTATGGTATATCAGTGACAAACATATGATTCCCATGAGAATTCAATACTACTTTCTGTTTGGTGTTTTAGGATCCTGGAACCTAAACTACCTCTAAAGATGTCAAAACAGACCAAATCTTGTTCTGTGTCAGTAAACAATCTAATTTCAATATACAACTTTGAAATTGCTACATATTTGTTGGTTAGTGTTCTTTCTAGCATTAACCTCGATCAGACTTTTCCACTGATTTCAACAAACACAAAAACACTATCAGCATCCAAAAGTAAAATTGACTGAATCATTTTATAAATAAATTCATTATCAAAGAAACAAAAGAAACAAGCTCAGCCCGTGTCAACAAAAACAATCGCAATTCTTCCATCCTTATAAACATCTTTGATCATCCCCCTGAAAATATTGTCCATGTACGTGCTATGAGAGCAAACACTGTAAAATATGATATTTTAGCACCATCAATGCATCATCTTACCTCCTAAAAAATGCCAGCTGTTCAATCTATTTAATATGTATACATTAAAAGATGGACAAGAAATTCCTTTGAATGACAATAATATATTTACCGAGACTCATTTTCACTTAAAACTCACTCACTATACATAGAAAAATGACCTGCATATACAAAACAACCATATGTTCAGCAGCAAAAACATGATGGGAACTTTGACCTGCATACAATATATCATGACAATTTATTTCTTGTTTCTTAAATTTGATTTCCTCCTTTCCTTTACCACCAGGGCCTGCAAAATCATAATGCAATCCCATCTGACATACATACAACTGTAGAAACTACATGTATATTTAACTGAAGTTCATGACCTCTTCTTAACACAAATCAAGTGTCTTTAATTACAAATAACTTCTCTAACATGATATTGTTTCTGGCATAAGGACTTGATTCCACAATAGTTACTGTTAATTCACTAGTCTGCACCACCGGCTTGGCTGGCTAAACATCACTACCACTACAGTAATAACGATGAAATCATTCCTATGCAGACATTGGTTGGGCAAGGGGAGTCATGGCCTCCTCTATATTTATGTGAGAAATGAATCGCAGGCGAACCTGTAGTGGTTGACGAAGATTCCTGATAAGTTTTTCCACATCATTCTTCACACCATCTCCAACAAACATGTACTTGATGTGATATCTGATTTGGAGGTTAAGTCAAAAACGATACACTTGTTACATATATTAGATGGTCAAACTGTGTTAGCATGATGTCAACTGCATTGTGGAAAACTTCCGAATTTTCCAGGTTTTCAAATCAGAATCTCTACAAGTTAAGCAAGATCCAAGAATTTGAAATAATGAAGTTTAACTGTACATAGGAATTTTATACCTTGGGATGTTTTTTAGGTCATCTGATCTGAATGGTCACAATGACCTATAGCCATCATTTTTCATCCATCATCATCATCTGTGTGTAAACTTTCCATTCAAATAAATTCTTCTCAAGAAGGCCCAGAGTGCTGATATGCAGCCTGTAGCATGCTTGAATGAATGGCTACCAAGTTTGTTGAAGTGACTGACCTTGACTTACTTTGAAGGTCACAGGGATCAAATATGTGAACATTTTTAAACCACTTCTCAATAATCAAATGGCCAAAGGTTCTGACATTAGGCCTGTGGCATGCTTGGAGTTAGGGCTACCGAGTTCATGAAAATTAATGACTTTGACATCTTTTATAGGTCACCGGGGTCAAATTTGTTAAAAAATTTTAAAAACTTCTCAATAACCAAAGGTCTCAGGGTGCTGATATTGGGTCAGTAGCATGCTGGGATGATGGACTACCAAGTATGCTTAAAAAGAATTACCTCTACCCACTTTCAAGGTCACAGGAGTAAAATGTATTGAAATATTTAAACGACTATTACCAAAAGGTCCATCATGCTGATATGCAGCCTGTAGCATGCTGGAATGAAGGGCTACCAAGTTTGTTCACCTTGTTCTACTGTCAAGGTCACAGTGGTCAAATGTGTTGAAATGCGTTAGCAACTTTCTTAATAACCAAAAGCCCAATGGTCTTCAAATTGGACCTATAGCATGCTTTTTCAACAAGTAATATTTCCGAAGTAAAGGCAGTTGTGTATAGTGTATGTATAAAGAACAGGATTTCAAGTTTGCAGAAAATGTATGTAAGCTGTAGAGTAGTATTTCAGGCCTATTTGGCCTCTTTTATCCATAGTTCTTTATAGTCAGGTGACCCTTAAGGCCCATGGGCCTCTTCTTTCTGAAATCATTTCCATTTCAATATGTCTAAAATTTGACAGATTGAAAATGAAAATTTCTGAAGACACATTAATAATGATGACAACAGCAACAACAATAATGATGATGAAAAAGGATACAGAAAGTCTGTGATTGGATCCATGTAATGGAGATGTTCACAATTCTTGTCCACACTCACCAGAATCTCATACAGCTCCACCACGAGCTGTGACAAACCAAATAGAAACTTGTTTGACCAGACATCGGAGTATTCAAGCATAATATCTAATTCAATGCCTCACTACAGTTCTGCAATGGTGTGTTCAATTAAACAGATTTTAAGATTGTATTTTTTCTGTAAAAACCCTGATTATTCTGACATCATGTTTAGTGTGGTCAAGTTTCCCAACAGGGTGTCACATTAGACAGGTTTCCATGAACAGTAGTACTACCATTAATAGAATAGATGCTACGACCAATTATAGGTCATCACTTATTCCAATATCTTGTTTGGGTAATATGTTATGTCAACGAATGGTGAAAAATTAGGAATAACTGACATACATACCTCCATCAGACAGCGAGTTCGCTCTGAGTGCAGGCGCTGGAGAAATGGACCCACCAAGTGACACAAGTACAGGAACTGCTGTTCATTTATAATCACAGGCTTCAACGTCTCGCGGAGAAACCTGTACAAAAGTTGGAATTGTAATAATGTCCAGACCAACACAAATATGTCACAAGGTATTTTAATTGGTGATACCATCCCACATGCCGACATACTGCCTCCCTTACAGACATATTGATAAATCGAATAAGAAATAAATTGAGTCTAATGGAGTTGCGTAGCGGTAAAAAATTTGCAAAACGTAATGAGATGTACTAGTGAGGAGGATTTACTTATCTACAGCTTTTTTTTAGCAGTGTTGACTTTTTACTGTTAGCTGAAAAAGTCGTAGTGGAAGCAGGTAGAATTGACCTACTTGTTGTGTTTGCTGAGAGAGTTGACCTAGTAATGGTGAAAGTTAGAAGATTTGACCTAATTGCTGTGATAGTTGACCAACCTACTGTGGTAGTTGAGAGAGTTGACCTACTTACTGTGGTAGCTGAGAGAGTTGACCTATTTACTGTGGTAGTTAAGAGAGTTGACCTACTTACTGTGGTAACTGAGAGAGTTGACTACTTACTGTGGTAGTTAAGAGAGTTCACCTACTTACTGTGGTAGCTGAGTGAGCTGACCTACTTACTGAGGTAGTTAAGAGAGTTGACCTACTTACTGTGGTAGCTGAGTGAGCTGACCTACCTACTGTGGTAACTGAGAGAGCTTACCTACTTACTGTGGTAGCTGAGAGAGCTGACCTGCTTACTGTGGTAACTGAGAGAGTTGACCTACTTACTGTGGTAACTGAGAGAGCTGACCTACTTACTGTGGTAGCTGAGAGAGCTGACCTATGCCAGCATGATGCCAAATAGCATGTGTAAGTGCCAGCACATAGCTACAGTGCTGTTCGGCAAACACTGACTGGCTGCCACTAAAGTTGAAAAGCTGGAAAGGCTGCACATTTGGCTGGATGCTGCGTACTACTTCCTCTATCTTGCCATTAAGTGACGACCAGTAGGTGTCCTACAGACAGACAACTTATCAATACAAACACTTCAATATCCTTATAAAATACAGCATAAAGCAACATATTTCTACAGAATACTTTAATTACCATGGTAATCTGATTTATATTTATTATGAGCAATCTTCATCAGAATTTCTTTTTTAAATTACACAATCACTAATTTTACAACATGCAGCATTTTTACTGTGACTATATGCCAATTATGGTGATTAATCAGAATTTGTTCAGAAATCACAGAATCAAGACAAGAATTAGATTGATTTGACTGATCCTCTGTAAACACATAGGTCACTGATATACAACATTATCCTCATTACAATGTGTTCAGCATTTCATTAAGTATAACCATCTTCAAACATTAAATTAGAAGTAATGACATCAGTCCTACTCACCGGAAGTGCTGTCAGTACCAGCCCAACAGCATTCATCCATGACACGACCTGTGACCTCATCAGCTGCGTACAGCTAAATAAAAATAATTAAATCAGTTTAGTATTGATACAAAACTGTCATTTCTAGTATTTACTAAATTCCTATATTTCAATCAAAGTTCAAAACATGAAATGATAATAAGAAGTTTTCAGAACATGATTGTACACCTTCCCATGAACTTGTTTCCACTTTAAAGGAGCATCCCTCTAAAATGAAAATCGTCTTAAATTCCAAAAGGAATCTAAAGTGTACTTGGAGCTTTCTTTAGAGAAATAGGTTAGTTTTCAATTTTATTTGGTTAAATATAACAGATCTTGCACACAGGGCAAAAATGTTCAAACCACATATGCCAAATAGGCCTTACTCAGACAGGTTTGAAGGACTACTCGCATTAGGTTTGAAAGACTTTTTGAGTCAGGTTTAAAGGATTAATCGAGTCAGATGTAAAGGATTACTCGATTCAGGTGTAGATAAGGTTAAATACTTACTTTTTGAGGACAACATCAAGTAAGGCACGACCAACAATGTTGCCATGCACAGGAAGTGACATCAGTTCCACACAAGTGACATAAAGAGCATGAGCCGCAGGACTAGGGAACTCATTGAAACGCCAGTCACAGTTTGGGAACGGGGATGGTGTCTTGTTGTTGATTGCTGATACAGTTAAGGAAGTTCAAATCAGACAACTTTGCTTAATGGCCTTGAAGAGAATTTGGAATTTTTGTGAAGTCATCAACTAAGCTGGAAAGATGCCTTCCAGACATTTCATATCTTGGTTTAAAATGATTCTTCATCTGTGAATGTAACATTGGAAAGTGCTAGAATTAAACCTGATCTCAATTAAACAATGAATTTGACCTTTTACTTAAATCTATTCTTTAACTTGTATCTACCGAAGGTCTGTCATTCCTTTGTAATATTGACTTTTCAACATTTGTTTTCTACAAAACTAAAAATCGGGTTTTCCAGTTTTGAGGTTTCTTGTTGAAGAGCATCTCAGCAGGAATTCTTTGTATTGTAGAATAATTTCCAGAAACAAAATAACATGTGCTCATCCAAAATCACACAGAAATGCTAAAGAAACTAATCTTTGTTATAATATCTATTGATCCATGATTAAAATTCACATTTACATGAACAGATTGTCTAATTCACTCAGCATTAGACTATACTATAGTGAGGATACTGTCCACAAGTCTCCCAATGAGACGGACATAATAGTCCAGGTCTGGATTCCACTCGAGGTTGTCCTCCTGTATGAAGCGCTGGTAGTCTTCAGACAGGAACCAGTTGTTAGGACGAATATCCTTGTGGGCATCTGGTCAAGGTCATAACAGAAAGGCAAAGACATTACAAAGAACAGAAGAAATAGATTCAAGTCACCTAAATCAATTCAAAAACAAAATTTGGGAAACATTGGTAAATGTTCTTTTGATTCTCTTCATCAAAAAATAAATTGGAATTTTTGACTGCAGGGCACGTTCATCACCTAATCATATTTCTCATTTTGAATGAAAGAAAATAAAGCAAACATTATTTCTTATTTGAAAATAGTTAAAACACTACAAGATTAAATCTTAAAAATCAAACTTTGTTGATGTTATTTTCATTATTATTTACATCACGATAAGTTTATCGTCATCTGGAGTTCATTTTCTTTTAGAATCTGAAGTTACTGCTGTACACTTATTCAACACACCTTTTAAGGTCCTAAGGCCTTAAGCAGCAGTAACTAGATACTTACTCATGATAGACTGGACTAGCTTGCGTTTTAAAGGCGGTCTGTTGATGAGATTTCTCTGATAGTAGTGTAAGGTGTTATACAGGTAAGTTATCGGATGGTCTGTAAAGTAACACATAATAAAACAGATCAAATTAATGAAATATCATCAGAAGCAAATGAAAGCTGTGTGGCTGTGATCACTTATTGTATGCCAGGTCCAATATGGAAAAGTGAGGTTGACTAGGGTATCCTTGTGATCATGATTGTATATTATAAAACTCTTTTTACTGGTATTTTTTATTTATTTTCATGATTCCACCACAAGGTTTAGGCATTAAAAGATGTATATTTTTTACAACAGATTTAATCTTTAACTATCAATTTCACATCCCTGATACTCAAGGGGTTATAATCAATTCTTTGCACACCTTGTAGGGCAAAATTGATGGCACAAGCAAAATAATCTGATTGGATCTAGGAGAAAAAGTTGACCAATCACAGACTGTTACGCTCCTTCTGAAGATTACAAAGGAGCAACACCAAACTTCAGAGTCAGTTCAATTTACTTTTATGCAACCACGAGATTCATTTGATATACATCAAAGGATCAAACTGGTCTTGTACACAATGTGTCGCACATGGAATCTACAATTTTGCCATGACATGTTCCAGGGGTGCAGAGCAACAGATACCTCAATAGTGTCTGGAACAATGAATATGTCAGACAATGTAAGGTGTTCTGTTCCTTAGTAGAAGGTTCATGATTGTGTTTATTATTCAATTTACATGAATGAACATTATATAGCATTTCAGCATCTAGGGCCAGTTTTAAACAGTTTGATCAGCAGGACCAAAGTTCTTCATTTATAAAACTGCAAAAGACCTCATTATTTTATTTTGCTTTCTAAAACAGATTAATATTTATTTTGCAAAGCATCAAACTCTGCAGGTCTGTCACACTTTATGCTGGAAATGTTACATTTAATATAATGACAAACAAGTTTGCCAATATTAAAGGACATTGTCTTGGTTTATAGGAATAAGCTGAATTAATTTTTTTGCACTTACCATGGAACTTGTACAGGATTCCCAAATTTTCCAGGATTTTTTCCAGTAAGTTCTGAAGTGTGGGCTGTTCTATTATTCTGTGTATGAGGATATCCAGTACCTGAAATAATACATATTACAATATTTATCTTTCACTGCAATAAGGCCAGACAGCCAATATATTACTTCTTACACAAAGTCAGGGAGATGTCTTACTATAGGACAAAAATAACAATATCAATGGGTCAGCTTATTACTAGACATTGGCTCATTGAGAGATAAATACAACCTGGTAATAGGACTTGGTCACCAGGTTAACAAAGCCATCCAAGTAATGTTAATGTCTTGCAAATAGGTACAAGGTAGATTTCTGTTGATGAAATAAGACTTTTACAGGAAAGGACACATTTTAAATCACAGTCACAAAGTATTCTGTACTAAATAATAGAGAAGATTAAGTTACACATAAAATTGGAGTGTTTTGAAATGTACAGATTTTTATTAACTTAATAAAATCCAGATATGATCCTTTCAGGAAGTCTAAAGGAATATAGAATAATTCTTTAATACATATTTTCCACTGGTTTACATATTACTTACAGGTATAAAACGGAGACAGACATTTCCAAAATAGACAGGGAGATACTGATGCTGAATAGGACTGTTCAGGTCCTGTATCCCCTCGTAGTAAAACTTCTCTGGATGTTTCTACAAAGTGACAGTAAATGATGAAGATCAGCCATCATTCAATTTGACATTTAAAGCATCGCTATCGTACAAGAACACTAAAATTTCTTCTTTTTTTTCTTTGCTATGTTAATAGCCAGTGATTAGTAAGCAATTGTATACTGCAAAAATTGTTAATTTCAACAGTTTAAATTTCTGAGAGTTCATTGAAAGATTATAAAAAATGTCCTATGATTTCCTTTAGAAATTTTATTTTCAAGGTATCTATTAGTGAAAAAAAAAACCTTGAAAATAAAATATTTAATATCATATAAAAAGATGCTCTGAACTGCATGATTGTTTTCACACAGAGAACTCTTAAATAGATAACAGATATCTTCAAAATTATCAGTTGGGCCAATCTTTCCTTTTAAAATCAAGAGTTACCTTGCAAAACTTGTGTACATAAGAAACTCTTTCATTATTTGCCCGATAGGACGTATTTGATTTGTTTAAAAATATACAAATGATGCAGATGTGAGAAGAAACCTACCCGATGGAAAGCCATGTGTTTGTCATGCCAGTCGCTTTGTAGCCAGTGTTCTGGGGAATTCTAAAACAGCAGAAATCAGTAACACACTTACAGTTTGGCATGAATTGTTTCATTTATGGAAATACTTGGGTAATAAATATAATGTATTTTGTAGACTAAGTGATCTTAATGAAAGTACTATCTTTATACTGTTAACATTCAATAAAAACAATAATACATTAAATATGAAAATTTAACAAACTACTTTCACCATTTAAGTTCACCTCATCAGAATCTCCCAGACATAAAAGAACTTACAATTATTAAATATGTGGATTTAGAAGTATAATTCAAAATGAAGCAATTTACCATATTACTTTTGGCTGATATCCTTTATACAATAACAAATACATCTAAGTCTGTTTGAAACAGAAAGAAAATGTATATGCATTATCATACTGAAGAAAAATCAAAGTCTGAGTCAAGTAAGTATAGTTATTCAAATGAGCTAGAACAAACCTCTCTGACAAAGTCATGAATTCGTGTTTTGAATTCTGCTGGTTTCAGCAGTAACATGTGTATGATCAGGTAGCATAAACGAGCTTCATTCTCATCAAAGTTCCTCAAAGCCTGCCATGAAATATGAAGAAACAAACATTTATTAACATAATAACTTATAGGACTTAAAATATTTTTAATAAACAATGGTTTTGTGACATCAATGGGAAATTGCAAACAAGTTGCTAAATTCTAGATCAACCATTTACGATTACATTGTTTGCCTATATTATCAACAGTAAAAAATATACAGAATGTATATAATTAACAAGTTCAATGCTAATTAATAAAGGTGTTGCATCTAAACTTACTCAACTTTAAATCAGTGTACTGAGAGATTTATCACAACAAAGGTCATGGCAGCCTAATAGTATACTTACAACACACAAGACAAGTCGGTCGATGGTTACAATGTTGTACCTCCACACCATGTCACTGAGGGTCTCAATGAACTAAGAATACACAAACAAGTTTTAATTAGTTTTAATTACTATGAATTGCATTCCAAAGGGAACCAAAAATGCAGCCTTTATAGACAGGTGGCCTTTAAATTAAGGTGACCTTTAAAACAGGTTTGACTGTATCTCTGTTTATTAGACAATCTATCACACTCTTGTTTCTATCGTGAACATTACTGGCACTATGCAACTTTAAACACGATAAATATCCTTGCCTTATTTGATCTGGACTAGATAAGATTGTCCTTGTGTATTGTTGAAATAGTATTTACCTTGTTCACATTTTGTCCACTCACTCCACTCAGGTTCAGTTCATATACCATGAAATCAGCAAAGGTACGAAGATGGGATGACAAAGCTCGTGGTCCCAATCGGTCGAGTACTCTGTTAAGGTAGAGAATTAATTTTTTTATTTTCACACTAGATTTTGCATTTTTTAAAATATCATCATAAATTAAATAACACTAGTGCAGCAATTTCTTGTGCTCAAACAATTAATTCAATTAACATTCAAAAATTATATAAACCACTAAATATTGACATTTATGCAGCCGAAATGACAGCTATTTATAGGGAAGGATGGTTTACATAAAACATTAATCAACATCATCTTAAATTACTATTACCATTGTTACTATTATATTATCATTCACAGGGTTATTGAAAAAAAAAAAAAAAAAAAAGATAAATTAAAAATTGGAATATTTAATATATCACTTATTCACTACTAAGCAAAGGGTAGATATAAAAACTTACTTGTATGCTATTGGAGGTACTCGACTCTCATCCAGCATGTTTTTCCAAATAATACTGTACAACAAACAATTCAAACAAGAATTATATTAAATGTGCAAATAGCCCAAAGTTTCCAACGCAAGTTTCCAAAAGACATGTTTCTTCAGATAGCCTTTAAAAAATTAGTACTTTTCACCTTCTTAATGTGTTTAAGAATTGTAGTATTTCAATGTCTAAAGCTTTATTTGACACCACACCAAGATTTATCATCTTTCTTTACACATACCATAAAAAGAGAGGCGGAGTTCCCTGCATAGAAAAGTGGGCGATTATATCACTTTCATTGGCCATACCTGAAAAAAAAATTGTTATAGAATTTTCAAACATTTTATGGTAAGAGATGCCCTATAAAATATTTCTTAGATAAACAGATAAGGCATCCAAAATGACAGCATTTTAATATACTCAATAAAACTCAGTGTACATTAGTCAAGAGTTAAATAGACCACCAACACTATTTTTTGTGAGCAATTCTCACTCTCAAACTTTAAATTTCGCTATTTACTCAAATAACTATAAAGTATAACACTGTATCACCCCTATAATATATAAAGAAACCTTGACCTATGGAAAATGATCTATACATACACCTTGTATATTTGATTATTGTATCACCCCTATAATATATAAACAAACCTTGACCTATAGAAAATGATCTATACATACACCTTGTATATTTGATTATTGTATCACCCCTATAATATATAAACAAACCTTGACCTATAGAAAATGATCTATACATACACCTTGTATATTTGATTATTTTATTGTTGATCTATGCCTTGTTGCCAGGATCATTAAAGCATGTGTGAGGTTTGGAGGTAAGCTAGAGTTCCCAGAGGAAAACCACTGACCAATGGTCAGCAACTGGTGACAGCTCCATGTAGGCAGCGAAGCTGTGACCCAGAGGTGGAGGGCTAGTAATAAAGGCAATCAGATACCTTAACCACTCGGCCACCATGTCTCTCCTTATCTTCTGGGTGGCTACACACCATGCATTATACCTTAATTTACTGACATTAAAGTTGGAAAACTCCTTCTGTGAGCAGTACCTGTTACTTTATCAATTTGAGATCAGGAAGAAAGCTGTCTTACTTTTCCACTTTTTGTACTCAGTGTCAACTCTGTGCTTCAGCTGGGCCTTGTCTTCACGTGCAATTGGGTTTTGTTGGTAGAACTCGGCAAGACTTGGCGGAAAACAGGCCAGTGTGTTTGGGGTCCAGCTGTGTGGTGTGCTCTGCATGATCTGGGTTAGGATCTCTCGGAACCAGTTTGATGAAAAAGTCTCCACACCTACCAACAGAATATATACTATCAGTTAACAATATAAGCAGGACTTTGAGGTCTCTAGGTTGTTTCATTAAATGTTTTGTATTTATAAGAGGCATTCAATGCAATGTTAACAATAACAATGTTTCCATTACCCCTGCATCTTTCTCTAAATGATCATAGAAATATTGTCTTCCAGTGATGAAGCATAACAATACCTTGTGAATTTTAATGTGTCATTATCAGTACATGTCAGTTTAAAATGTATATCACCACTGACTTATACAAGATTGCCTGTTCGTCAGTCAATAACATTTTTTACTGGGTTAACACACTTGTTTGTAATCTCCTCATCACCATGCAAAAAATGTTTTACAAGAGCATTAAGTCAGCTTTGCCTGCCTTACCTGTGATGTGCATTGACCTGGCTAGAGTGAGGACTAAGGCACGGTTCAACTCCTCAGAGTCTCCGGACAGGAATCCTGGTCGGTTTGGTTCATTGAGTAACCGTGACAACTGAGGTTGGACTTCAGCACTTCCTAGACCTGTGATCAACCTCAGGGCTGTACTTTCCACACTGTAAACGCCAAGTGATATGCCATAACATGGTATTTTGTTTATTTTTTAGTGATGTGCAGCATGACAATAGCTAGAGTCATAATGACTATGGTATAGTGCTCTCTGATGCTGCTTGAAATTCAATTTGTGAATTTTCTTTCATTTTGGCTGATGCCATAAATGAATTTATATACTTGACAAATGACCACTTTCTAACATCAATAAATAGATACAACAGTCCCTCTTTTGACTGCAGTAATTAGTATTATATCATTGCACATTTAAAATTACACAATTGTTTTTTATACAAAGTAAAAACATTATAAATAATCATATTGGACCTCAGAATTCTATCTATTACAGACTTTTCCATTACATTTTTCTAAATATTCTAATATCTGTCTTTGTGTTGTACCATAACAAATTTTAAATGCTTACCATAGCTGTAATTGGTTTTGATTGGTCTGTTGAAATGAGTATAATGTATGCAAGTGACCAAGGAGTTGGACTCTATAATGAGGTTGTGTGTGATGAAGTCTGTAGCTGAACATCTCCAACAGCGTGTGGAGGATTCCCCAGGCATGGCTGGTGAACACTGTTGGTAAAAGCTGGCCTGAAGAAACAAAGCGTGTCTAATTATTTACAGAATGTAGTGAGGATTTCCTAGATATTCCTGGCAACACCACAATGAATGACACAATGATCTCCAGATATTTGTGGAATATGGTAAAAAATTCCCAGGAGTAAGGTATGGGTTTAAAATGATGTTAGGTAAAGTGACACTGAGGTGCAAGAAAGATTAAACTATTCAAAGAAAGTAAATCTATTAATCAGTCTTCAAGTGTAAGAATCTACTGTAATATTAAGAGATATTTACTGATAAAGCCTTTGATGCCGAGAGATTCAATCTCCATGTAGACAAGAAGTCTGCTGTAGGTCTCTACTAGAGCTGGAGCTGGGGCGATTGTTGACTTGGTCTTTGCCTGACGGATAACTCGGTGAACAATACTGTGGATAAGGCTACAACCAACACAAACATAAACAATGTTAGTGTGTTATTCAGGAGACGATACTGTAAAGTTGTTATTTTTGAGAATGCAATAAAACCAAGGAAAACTAACATCTAAAAAATAAAATAAATACAATAGATCATTTCTTGACTTCCTTGAAAAACTTTATTAATCTTTTGGTAAAGCCATGAAACTTGAACCATTGACGAAAACAAACTTTACAAAGCAGTGCTGTACTCACTGTCATTTATCGACTTTGCATACTATTGAAGAATGAGCAAAATAATTAGTTGGGGTAAGAGTTAACATCATACTTTATCCTTACACACACAGAGAAATAAAATCATAATATAGCCTTCTTTTGATTACCAATGATACATATTTTGCTGTCTGTACATGTACATAGGTGATTTTTCAAAATATACTAACACCAAATAATACAAACAACATGTTATCATATAAAAGGAACAGAGTCCAATACTTTGTCTTTTTAAAAACAAATACACTGACATTCTGTGGGATCTAACATACTATCTTCCATCTTTAACGTAACTGCTTCATGAATTCCAGTAAAATTTCAAAAAGAATATGTGACATTCTGAGAGTACAGAATAACATAATTGATTAACCACTTCACCACACAGTGGCTAACAAGAAACCAATATACACATACAATCTTATATTCCTCAGATTTTAATAAATGTATATTAGAAAAGAACTAGTGAAATCTATTTCATAACCATAATTCTGTATTGCCAACACAAACCTCATTTTGGCATGAACCGTTAAGGAGTCCAGAAGACTCATGGGTAATGGTTGTGTGGGTGCTGATGCTACAATGTTGCCAGGCAACAAGGTTGTATGTTTACTGTCTCCATAGATACTCTCCACTAGTTTTCCCATGGGGAGATTAAAGTATTCATTGTTTGTGCTGTCTGTAAGATAGAAAGTAAAATGAAAATGAAAATGAAAATTAATATGTAAAATGAAAAGATACAAAAACATTTTCTTTATGAGGAATCAAATTTATCATGTAGAAAACCCAAGGGGTCAACATAAAACAGTCTTAAAGGGGTGGGCTTATTACAAAAAAAAGGAAATAGCATTGGTTAATAATTTTATAAAACAGAAATATACATGGGTGAGGTTTTTATCAGGCATGGGCTTATTGCTTAATATATACAGGTAGTTACACATCAATAGTTCACTAATGTGTTGAGATACACTAATTTGTATGATACGGCTTCTGTCTCAAAAAATCACAAAAGTTAATGATTAAATAATCAAACTTCTATCATGAACAATTCTATGTATGTGTCTATATTCACTTACAAGCATTGCATAACAAAGCTATTTTGTAGTCATTCAGCGACATGTTTTTGTTGTTGACACACTGTTTCAGGTATCTGAAATGAAAAAAAAAATAGAACATGTTCATCAAGGTCCATTGATATACCAGGTAATATTAAATTCCTTTATCTACTGAAATCAAACCAAGTTATATTTTTCAATAAATCTGTGAACAGTGTGACAAAATGTATCTTTTCCTTGGTTTATCAAGCTTATTTAGATTTATGGTATCCTTAACCTGTTTCTATTCTTAGAAATATTAATATTGTTACAAATTATCTCATACAGTAATGATATCAAAAACAGTTACACAGAACTTGTTTGGATCCTACTCTATAACAGTCAAGAGTGAAATGTTATTTGTTAATTTACATAACTGATAATTTCAGAATAATTTACAGTTTTTACAATCTCATGATGTCTTCAAACATGAAATGTTTCGATACAACATACCAAGGAATTCAAATTCATCAGACATAGGTTTCAAAATGGTGAGTAGATAAATGGTTCAAGATTGACATTTATTTAACAACTTCCATATCATTCCATCTGGGTTTAAAAAAACCCAGGACGGTGAAATAAAATATCAATACATTGTACTCACTCCAGATGATCCTGAAGGGCATTTGGCATGGGTCGGGGAAGTTGGACCTTGTCTGTCTGTGCCTTTTTGTTAAGGTGTATCCATATACATGTACTGGACAGGGCATGTGTAGATGAGGCCTTGTTTGTGTCCGGCATAGGGATAATGGAAGTGTCAGAGTACAACAGGTCATACAGCTTCATCACTGGCAGGAAGTCTGTCAACTAGGGGAGATAAATCACAGTATTACAAACAGCTTCATCACTGGCAGGGATGTTGGTCAACTAGGGGAGATAAATCACAGTATAACATGTACATGTATTACTATGTACATAACTATCTCACTGAACATTATGTGTGAGGTCTGCTATATGATGTCCAAAGCAAATGAACTGAAGTTTCCTGTCCAAACACACAACTACAACAGCAAATGGATGTTATGTGTTCTCAGCTAAATTATCGTAAGAAAACATAAACTGTCATGGTTTTGGAGCACTAAACCATATTACACGGATCTTCTCCTGAGGCCGCAAATTCTTATGCTTGCACAACAATTGTGCTACCTATCCCTCTCCCCCTGCTTCCAATCCACACCATACTAGAAAGAATATTTGAGTCACAGTAAAATTAGCTGTACATCTTCATTTACAGATAGTCAAGATAGTTTGATAATCTTTGCAGACAACCTTCAGTATTTTTGCCATCCATGTATTTGTTATTTTTCCTTACAGTAGACAGTGAATGAATGTGATTTTTTACCTTAAACACATTGCTATGCAGATTGGTTTCTTTAAAACAGTGTTATGGCATGATACCACATATTTTTTTATATCCTGACAAACACTCAAAATAAACTTACAGGATTTTTTTGTATACTCCCAGATATGAACTGCAGTAAGACCCACATCAAGTGATCTCGTCCCTTGTTCAGGTTACGGCCTTTCAGCTGCAAAGACAAGTTAATGATATCAATTGAAACTCCTATGTTAAAAAATTCAACATTGAAAAATTTATGAACTAAAAAATTCTAGTTAGAAATGATAGCCCCCCCCCTCTCTCATGTATATAAATATCACCATTTGTTGAATTTCTAAAAGTTGTCAAAAGTGACCCCTGACCCTTTAACCTAGATAGATATTTATCTTAGTAATAAAAAATGCAGACTTGATGTTACAATACTATGAGGTAAATATAAAACAAATGTGTTGGTTAGTACCACTGCACTATATATCCTGACAGGGATAATCATAAATTAACTTACTAAAATCTATCTGTGGATCTATATAGTAAATATGTAAATATCATTAAGAAATAGTAACAAGTCCTAAACCGTTCTCTTACCTTGTCGTAAAGAGACATAACCATATGAGGGAAACTTGCAAACTGGAAAAGTACAAAGTAGATCACTTGGCTAGACAGATGTTGCCATAGTAACTGACTGAGACATTCATCGTTAGCTACATCATCATTTTCTGACCTCTCCATCGCCATGACAACCAGATCAACTAGTTGTTCTTCCAGCACTTCACATCTTTGCTTGACCTGTACAAAATTAAGGTAGAAATCAGTCACTGAGATGTTGAAGATCTTCATAGTTACATACTGTAAATATTAAAATTACATATTTTATAACATTTGTTATGATATATCTAAACCAGCAAAACTAGTGACAATCTTTATAAAAATTGCACCTAAATAGGTCATGAGTATATAGTTCAACTTCATAACATCTGATGATTTTGAACTGATAAAATTCATTATTGCCACGTGCTATAAAATAATGCAGTGGAATATGATGCCATACATTATCCTCAAATATTTTTGTTACCTGTTTATTCAGGCCAAGCATACTGCCCACCATGTCGCGGGAGTAGGGCTGTTCTAATACATATCTCAACAGTCCAGTCTGGGCTTCAGATAATGCCTTTAAAAAAACAGATATCATGCTATATAAAAAAAATAACTCTGGACATAAATATATATTAAAAATATGATTTAAAACTTATTTCCATTCTGTGAAATATGTTTAGTCAAACTGATACAAACCTTATCATAAGGAAGGGGCCCATTTAGGGGGAATCTAAGACTGGTGGAGTTCAATCTCCATACATTTCCTGTAGACAGTGAGTGACCAACTATAGGCAAGAGCTGGGCTCGACCTGAATCAAAGAGAGAGTCACACATATCAACTGACTAACACCAAGTGAAAGACAATAAAACTGCACATTTTCTGAATATATTCAGTTTTACCTTATGACAAAATTATAAATTGAAATGGGGGAAATGAAAAATCTCTTCCATGACTTTTTATCCAAAGTAGTGATTAGTTTTACATAAGAGATCATTAATTATTTCAATGTCTGTTTTAACCACAACCTCTGTAGAATGAAGTTCTCTTTAGCCAAGTGGTATATTATAACTAGTATTTTCCAGGGTTTCATTCGTATACTATTGTGATCAAATCTTAAGCTATCAGCATAACTTTATGAACTATCCTATTTATTTTACCTGACACTGTGACCATCTGTGCTGCTGGCCTAAAACTGTCCACAAAGTCAGACAATAGCTTTCCAAGCTTCTACATTAAATAAATGAAAAATTGTTCAAATGTATTAGGTTAGAAACCAATAATTTAGAATACAAAGGAATAATGCAGGTTACTTCCAGTCCAATCGAGGGATATTCTGTACAAATTATTATTTAAAATTATTTTTCACAAAAAATTTCTCATAGAAATGGTACACCTCAATTGACCATATAAACAAACATATAATATTCAATACGAGGAAATTCTACATACCAAGTGTTCCAGGACTTTAGGGTTGAGAGTGTTGTGTGTGTGCGTGACCCTACCCAGTGATGAAGGACTTTGGCTTTAAGGGTGGGGTATGTGTGATTATACCCTTGCAGCAAGATCTGACCCAGTTTTCACAGACTTTGGTTTGAGAGTGTGGTATGCATGATCTTACCCAGTGTAGCCAGAGTTTAAGTCTGAGGGTGTGGTCTATGTGATCATGCCCAATGAGGCCAGATTTTGAGTTTGAGGGTGTGGTATGTGTGATCTCACAGTGTGGTAGGAATGAGCTTAACCAGTGTGGGTAGATTTTGAGTTTGAGGGTGTGGTATGTGTGATCTCACAATGTGGTATGAATAATCATATCCAGTTTGGTTAGATTTTGAGTTTGAGGGTGTGGTAGGTGTGATCTCATAGTGTGGTAGGAATGATCTTACCCATTGTGGGTAGATTTTGAGTATGGGGTGTAGTGATTGGCAACTTTACCCAGTGTGGCCAGAAATTGGTTTGAGAGTGTGGTGTGAGTGATCTTAACCAGTGTACCTATTTTTCGAGTTTGAGGGTGTGGTGAGTTGAAACCTTACCCAGTGAGGCCAAACTTTATCTTCGGGGCAAACTTTGGTGATCTCATTCACAGCCAGATAGGCTGGCAAAAGACACACATTTCTGTCCAGAATATAGTTAATAACCTGCAACAGTAAAGCAGGTCCGTGATAAATCTAGTTCTCTGTCTTCCAAACCTATATATTCATATTTGTATATTGGTATCTATTCAAATAATTTTATAAGTATATCATAGAAATAAGCATTGAATCTGTATAATAGAACAGATTTTTGATTGGCAAAAGTCTGACCTTCACGAGAGAATTTCTTCTTGTTCAAAATGATTTTGAATTACACATTGAAAACACTGAATGGCTTGTAACCGAGTCTGAAGTACGAAAGGGATGAAAGTTAAAGTGCAGTAAGCAGTGTCATTTTTTCGTGAGAGCATCACGTACTTTTCAACATAGCTCAGCTATTGTATCTTTTCAGCACAATAATTTTTTTATCTATCTTATCTTTTTTATCTCTTTGGTTACCTCTTTTCTTTTTATCTGAATTTTCCAAAGTACTACACACGTAGTGTTTAGTTATTTGACCTTAAATATGAAAATAAGTACATAAAACTTATCTTAGTGTTTTAAAAGAATATTTCTTAATATCACATACTATCAGCACAGGACGAAAGAATTAATACTATGAAATGGGAAAGACATTTTCTATCATATAACTTATTGTATACTTACATTGACAACCACGTCTATCTTAGGTGTAAGAGATATGTTCCCAACCTCCGGTATAATCTGGATCTTTTCCATTATTGACCTCAGTAGATCTCTGCAGCCCTAAGGAATCAAGTTCCAATGTGTTAAACATATCATGACATCTAAATACAAGATCAGTACTAGGGTAGACAATTTTATTCCAGGCAAGCTTCACTTTCTATATATATATTTCTGTATCTGGATTAATTGTCAGAGAAATATGGGGTAACTCATAAGATAAGTTTTACCTATATTAAGCCCTGCTGTCAAACATAACAATGGCCACCATAATCAAAGTTGATGTCAGGAAATCAATACCAAAGTCCTGATTATCATTTCTCCAACAACTGGAGACTGATCATACCGTAAACTATTTGCAGAATTCATAAATTGGTAAAACACAAAATTCAGAATTCAATTCTATCTTAATGTAATGTGTGGTACAAATGTTAGTAAAATTCATCACTTTCTGGTATGCTTCAATACATTCACAATAACTTAAGAATATTTTTGGTTAGAAGTAAACTGCCACCAATCAACTAATTCTTCACAGTTGAAAGTAAAATGATAATTCCCAGTTGAAGGGATTAATCAGAACATCAGTATGGTAGAATAGTCAACATATGATTTAATCTTTCAGGTGAAAATATTAAGTAAACACAATATCCAAACACTGAACCACATTAAGTTTGAAACATGAACTCATACAAATGTATCAAAACACACCGAGTTACATACTTTAGGTATGTACATGTTCTGTGAGCTAATCTTAAATATAAACCAAATAATGTAGGTTCTTCCATCCTTATGTATTTTAGCATAAACACAATGTACCAATACATAACTGAAAATTTTGAAATGAGGCCTGTCGTAATCATGGTAAAATATTCTTTGTATATTCTGTTAGGATTTCTTATCTGTTTTTATCTTCTTTTCTTTTTTTAATTATTCCATATCAAATGCTTTGTCAGCCCATCCGTCTGTTTGTTCGTCTGTCCATCTGTCTGTCATAATTTTGTCCAGAGCATATCACAAAAACTGTAAGAGGTATCAACATGAAACTTCATAGGTAGATAAATCTTGATAAGAAGGAGTGCAGTGTACGAGAACCATAACTCTCTTTTGCATGATTAGCCCTTTTGGAACTAGCAGTTATTCAGGGAGCATCCATCAGTTCTACCAATTCTTTTGTTTAAGTATAAGTCTCCATTTAAATAAATGTCAAAGTGTAAAATCTTGATCATGTAAAGGCAAGCACACATCGTAATATTTCAGGCCTTCACTTAAGTATAATGTAGGTACATTCATAAGTTCAAATTCACTTAAACAATATATGTAAAGATCACTTACTTTATATTCCACACCACCAATGATTTTCTTGAGGAGTTGAAATGTCTTTGTCCACATGTGAGGGACCTCATAGTGAAGTCGGTCCTGGTTTAGTATTGCCTCACACACTGGTCTGCAATATAATTTCCATTGGTATTTATAAAACTATCAAAGAGGTTGGAAATGCCCTTGGAAAGTCAAGACTGTCTCGATTTTGCAGTATTTCTTTCTATTCTATTTCTTTCTACATCACATATTTAAAATTCAATACACATCTCATGGATTTTCACAGCTATTTTGGTTATCATGAACAACTTTCCATTAAACAGTTTTCATTTGTTGAAGAATTTTAATGGTATCTTCTAAAATCATTGTTCATTAGACGATTAAAAAACCACAGAAAGCGTTTAAAACAAAAGCTGTTTCAACAAATACATTAAGAAGAAGATGTACAACTATCAATAAAATATAATGAATTTCAAAATTTTGGAGTTTTATATAAGGCAAACTTGCTTGTGAAAAATACTACCATTAAGAAGTATCATAAATTCAAGACAGCCTTGACTTTCAAAGGATGTTTCCAAACTTTTAATAAGATCTAACATTCCCCATGTAGAAACTGAGAAAGCTTTCCAGGAATCATTACAAGGACCTTTCCATATACACGTATGTACTTTAATAGTAGGTAAATAAGGATCCATTTACCTGCATGTACCTTAATTGTATGTAAATAAGGATCCATTTACCTGTATGTACCTTAATCGTAGGTAGATAAGCTTGAAGTATTTCATATCAATGGATACAACCATTGTATACTTGATGAAGTGTCCAGCCTAGTCTTACCTGGCAGGTATGATATTGTTTTCAACCATGGACTCTAATAAGCTGGCCATAAGATTGACACGACTGGCATTGCTTTGATCGTACATGATTCCAACATAGGTTCGCAAGGCTAAGTCCAAGGAATCCTGAAAAAAAACAATGTCTTTTATACAGGTAAAGTCATACAAGCATGGTCTAACACTAGTTCCATGGTATACTATTTTTACTTCTTTGAGAAACTTTTTACATCCTTAAACCTAAGGTTTTATATACATGTAGTTATATTTAATTCTCTATGTATGAATTTATCAAACTGCTGCTTTCTGATTAAATCTTTCATCGTAATTCTAGTAAAATACTAGCTGCAATTTACCACTCAGCTAAAGAGAACTTCTCTTTAGCTCAATTGGTTAAGTGTCAGACTAGCATGTCAGATGTCCCAGGTTTAAATCCTAGCCTAATGGCCTCTGTTACATTGGTGTCTATGTAGAGACTCAGGATTAATACTTAGACCCTTGGAGACTCAAGGATAAGTTCTTTCCTGGAGGGAGAGTTTACAACCCTAGTTAAGTACTAGCCGCAACGTCACCGCTCAACTAGCTTAATTGATCGAGCATTACACTAGTAAGCTAGAGGTCTCAGGTCCGAATCCTAGTGGAGGCATTTAAACTTGATGATCTGATACAGTAAGTTGTTAGTAATGAAAACATCCAACAATAAAAAGTACAACTAATGGATTCTCTTTGACTAACAAGTTCCAGATTCTAATTATCTGACTTGAATATGTTAAAAAAGAGTATTAAATATAACTAATAGTTAACTTTTTATCTGTATTGATTTGGTAGTTAATGGAATTTCTACACATACACACTATATTGATTGACACAGACAAATAGACGATTATTCCTTGTTTAAATAAGTCCAATCTTATAACAATATTATATAAAACTGAGGTTACTTTGTAGGGCAATACATGGTCATTGTTCAATAATGACTTCTGATGGACTTCTGTTTTTTTTTTCTTCCATACTGACTCATTTGTGTTGGTCTTAACTCTTACATACCTGGGGTGTAGTGAGGAGGAGATTCTTCAGCTTTCCAGTACAGAAATCTTTTTTCCATGTTTCTGATTCTTTAGTATGCAAGATGACAGAACAGAATGCCTCTTCAATTGCCTCTCCTTTCTACATAATAAAATTGTATATCAGAACTGAGTTATTATTTTGATTATGGCCATATTTGTACAGTGAATAGTTTTCTGTTTTTATTCATATTCAAAATATATTCATATATACAAAGAGTTGAACATCTGTTTTACTGGTAACTCATATGAATAATGCTACTAAATGCCACCCCACGCTACCCAACTCCACCCCATACTCAACAACTCCACTGCACATTCACCAACTCCACCCCATGCTACCCAACTCCACTCCATCCCACATTTACCAACACAAGACCACGCTACCCAACAACACCCTATGGTACCCAACACCACCATACGCTACCCAATGCTATTAAGCAACTTGAATACAAAACCAGAATGAAAAGACAGTGTAAAAGAAGTAAATGATATTTTACATTATCTACTCAATAAACAAATTTGAAATACTTTACAAATATTACATTACCAATCTTTGATATCTTGTGGAAATGGCGGATATGAGCATGATCAGTTGTCTTACTTATTTGCTAATACTTTGGAAATAGTTATATGTGATAATGTTTATTGTATATATTATATAAACAATAAAATATTTACATAGGTTCCACATCTCAGACCCACATAATGTGTGGTGATCTTTATTGTATGTTGAAATAATTTGCTGCATAAATATCTGTTTTCTCTAATGCAGGTCATTTGAAATAGAAACACATTTTCTTTTAAACATTTGCAACAAAAAATGATGTTTTACTTTTCACATGGCCCAATGACCAATGCACTGTTGTAAATTTCGCTCAAAAAATTGTAAATGAAGTTTTCTCGCTTCTTGTTAAACGCACCAACTATATCATCTCCACTGATTATCAATTGTTTATACCAATAATGGCTAAAAATAGAACACAAGTAAATTCATGCTCGCCTATGACATTTCCACTGGCTACACACTATATAGTCAATTGAGAACATTGTCGGTGATCTAAATTGTCATTTTAGTACAAAGCGAGGTAACAGAAATGAACATTTTCTGTGCAATAATATCCATTGTCACATTGATTATTTGTACATGTTATAAAGACGACGATGTGTTTCATTGCAAATTAAGTAACGATCTAAATTCTAATTACCCAAAGCAGTAACTATTCTTCAAATGCTTGACTATTGCCTACATGTGGGGTTGTACCAAATTATATCGCCTAAATATACCATAGTAGAAAACATAATTTTTCTGACAAGCCACGATAAATACTGTAAATTACATGCGCGTCTGTGCAGTACAAAGGATTTGTGGCAATTATTCTTTCCCGTTTCCTGTACAGCTCAGTAGATGTTTGTCTAAACTTAAAATATTACCAATATTTCTCCGACAACATCATACACGCTGTCTTCAACTGTTTTCTGTGACATATTTGTTTGCGTTTGTCTTGTTCAATCCCTAGGTAGTTGTGGAATGGAAAGTGAATAGAGAAGATTTTTTTGAAGAGAACCCGCTGGACGCGGCCATTTTCCTAACGTTACTGATTCGAGTTTTTGGTACAGATAAAGGATGATCGTAAAAGTGTTAACGCCCAACTAACATTATTCAGGTTATTTTGTGATGCACTCCATATACATTCATAAAACTAGAACGACGGTTGATAAAATTAAATATGAAGTTCAGTCTGGCTAAGCGCGAATGATATAAACAGGATCTTATTGTGTTTATCGCTACATGGTTGATATGTTTTTCCTGAAGAGGTGTAGATTTTTTAAAATGTAGCTGTGGCGCATGCGCAACAGTAAAAATCCTTTGGATTTCCTGTCACACAAGTGCCTGGCATTCTTCAAATTTCTTTTTCGTTATAAGGTAAGTCACCGCCTTATTAATAGTATGTACTATTTGAAAGTTAGCAATCTATTTTTAGTTTTGATTATATCAAATATTTTTCTTATGCTGAGTGTTAGACTTTAAGTCGGTTTACCTGTCCTTTTCAAAACAATAAAAGACGTTCCATTTCCGGGAAGGACATCTTTGGGGTGGGTCACGATATTTGTAGCACATTGCATGATTCATACATAACACACTCAATCACCATATTTGGTAAGGTGCACCACTGATGATATCTACTTGAGTTTTACATACATAACGGTAAGTTTCAGCATGTAATTTTCAGCCGTCACAAATTTAACTGCAAATACTTCGATATCCTACATTTGTTCAAACGATTAATTTCTTGATAACTTCATGATATATATCGTTAACAAGATATTACTTGAGAAAATATAGATGTCACATCAAAATTTTAGAATGAGGAAGAGGGAATGATTAGTGTGAATGACAACTCCACCTCAGCACTACTTCCCGCATAGACATTGGCAAACATAATTATTGACAATTCGTTCAAGTCCACAGGGAAAACGCAATATTAAGCTTTCACCTATATACTTAATTCTCTTATGGAACTCTCTTATACTATTGAAGTTTCTGCTTATATAATTTGTATATCAGTTGTAATGTATCATTGATTATACATGTTTAAATGCCAATTATTTTTTTGTTTTAGTCAAATCAAACCATCAAAATGTCAAGCAGAAAAACTAAAGGAAAGACAGCCAAAAAGAGGGCACAGCGTGCTACCTCCAATGTGTTTGCTATGTTTGATCAAGCTCAGATCCAGGAATTCAAGGAGGCTTTTAACATGATCGACCAAAACAGAGATGGATTCATCGACAAAGAAGACTTGCATGATATGTTGGCTTCTTTAGGTATAAGAAACCCATCACATTGCAGAGATCATTTTGATTTATTTATACTTAATGTTTGTGCCAGACATTAGATACAAATGTCTGCTCAAAAGTTGGCCTGAGACAACTTGAAAACTCTAACATTAACATGTTTTGATTTGTGTTTCTCTCTGATGTTTCTGTCAAAGTTCAAAGCTACAAATGATCAAACAGAAATTTAGACATTGGATTCAGTTTCTTTGGGGAAAAAGGACTACTTTCAACAATGGTCCTTTAAATTCCAGATGAATTTTGTTTAGGTAGGCGAGAATGCCTGAATTCAAAGTCAAAGTTAAGATCACTGTTACTTGTATAAATAGAAAATTGGTGCCCTACAGTTGCTGTGTTTGATATGTTCAAAAAGATTCCATTTTGTTGTTGTATTTTTTCATCATTATCATTTGTATCTAATTATTCAAGTTATCATAATCATTAATACTTACTAATGTTCTTCTTACATTGTGATATGATGTGTCGGAAACATTTTTAGGTTACCACTTTAAAAGTATAAAACAAATAAATGTGCATCTCATAGTTGACCTGTATTTGACATTCCCAGGTAAAAATCCTACTGATGAATCTCTGGATGAGATGATGAACTGTGCACCAGGACCAATCAACTTTACCATGTTTCTGACCATGTTTGGTGAAAAATTGAATGGCACTGATCCTGAGGATGTTATAAAGAATGCATTTGCATGTTTTGATGAAGATGCCACAGGTGATTTTTTGATTTATGTACAAACAGAAAAATATATAAGATTGAGTTTGTTATTTATTTATTTGTTTGCAGTTAAAGTTTTTGACAGATAGAAAATATTTTTTAATGCTGTTGTATATAAATGAATAGATGTAAAGAAGGAAAACAAACTCATGTTTAAAAATAATAACATACTTAACTTCTCATTAACATACTTTTGATCGTGCATTAGTGCTGATTTTTCTCAATACAATCAGAAATTGCTTTCAGGAACTTTATATAAAAATAAACTTTCATTTCCTAACCATAAAAAAATATCTTCCCAACAATCGCTCGGGCACATCACATTTGAAAAAGATCTTCTTTTTTTTAAATTATTAAAATATCCTAGTAGATGGATTCTGAAAGACAAAAACATTATTTATGTATGTTGTTATTATACACCCCCAATATAGTTATGAGCATTTCCCAGAAAATGCCTTTAATGAGGAAAAGACCTGATGATTATCATTTTTTCTGTATTACAGGATACATCAATGAGGAGAGACTGAGAGAACTTTTAACAACAATGGGAGATCGTTTCACTGATGATGAAGTAAGGATATATTAAGGACAGAATAATAAGCTGTGAAATATAGATGTTTTCTTTGTGAATCTGGTCAATCACTGCACAAGTCTGTTGCATTTTCCCAAGGGAATGTCGAAAATGTATTGACAATAAACAGGAAATGTTTATAAGGGTCTTTTTAAGAAAATTTTCCTGCAATATCAGAAAAATCTCAGAAACCTATAAAAAAAAACAAAAAAGGTGTTACAGGATGTGGTACACTATACAGTATTTTATTGTCATCAATTAATTGTGATCTATATCAATGAATACATTGTACCTCAGGTAATTTTCTAGCTAGAACACTGGGGAAAAGTCCATTTTTCATAATTGGTGAAAAGGCTTCATTTGTTTTGATTTGTAACCATATTTGAAAAGTTGCTGTACATATAATACTAGAATTGTTTCTTAGATGTAACCTACCGTTTGCCTGTGAAGAAATTTGTGCACAATAACATGACAAATATGAGAAATGGTTTAGATCCCCATTCAAACAAATAGTACCAAATTGTTGGACACATTGTGGAGATGATTGACAATTCTCCTATTATGTTTAGTACAACTTTATCTTGTCCCATGGACAAGTTGTTGAGTTTCTGCTGGTTGAGAGACAAGAAAAATAAAGGTCTGAAATTTAGCCTCTTGATCTAACTTGCCCATTGGAATTGATTTTCTGAATCATAAATTAGAAGCTGTTTGGATTTCAATTCTTTAGCTGTATGTGCTATTGTAGACCATTGAGAGATAAATGCTTTTACCTAGCCCATGGGGACTTATAATTTTGTTTGAAATATTGCTTTTAATAAGAAATATTGCCATGATTGCTCAAAAAATCAGGTTAGTAAGTCAGATCATCTAAAACATCTTGTTATCCAGAGTGATTCTGTTGTCTATTAATTTAAATTTCACATATAGATCTATGTCAGCATTGGATTATTATTATTTCACTTTATAAAGACTCTCTTCATTGTTTCCTGTCAATTTTATTTGCTACAAGTTAATTTATGCATTGAATGCATTTTCACTTGTCAGGTTGATGAGATGCTGAGAGAAGCACCAATAAAGCACTGCATGTTCAACTATGTAGAATTCACAAGGATATTGAAACACGGAAAGAAGGACGAATGAAAACCCACATTCTCATCACTTTGGACATTTCTTCACACTTGCTCTGCATGAATAACATGTAGGCATTGCTGAGACATTCCATGTATGAACAGTTAGCCTTTATATATTGCATTGTAATCTCATGTTTGCTGTCTTTCAAAAATGTTAAAATGTACAATGGAACAAACCTATGCATGGCATTTATATATTTATGAAGTGAAAAGGACTAGTCTCATTTTGTCAGTGTCAGTTACAAGCAAATATCAGTTATATCAAGTTTACTCAAATGAATTACCTGTTAGGTAAAAAAAATTCATAGATAATTTTTAATTTCGATATTGTTTCTGAAAGAATTAACTTTTTTTTTTCTTTTTGGTCTGACTATATATGATATAAATCTGTTTAAAAACTTTGCTTTCAATTTTAATAATTGTAAAATATGTATTTAGAATTAACTTTGTACATGTTATTTAACTGGTTTAAAGTTGATACAAATTAATGTTTAGGTAGAAAGCATTGTTTGTTATGTTGGCTGTTTGAACAGGTGTAGTAAAGTAATTTTTTTCTCTTTTCAAAAGTCTCATTAATTTGGAGTTGTATGTTAGAATTTGATACTTAATATTCTCATTAGCCTTTTTAAAAAAAGTTAACTATTTCAAAGGTTTTCTTGAAATGTGGTATCTATGTCATATCAGAAGTAAAATTTACTCTCAAGGGTGTGTTCCATATTTGAAGGTGAACAGAATTTATGATTTGAGATGTAAAGCTATGATAATAGACTTGGGGAGTGTATGTTTTGTTAGTTTAGAAAAGTACAGTATTTCCATCATGTTTATAGCATATAAATAAATTGTTGTTATACTGATAGTCAGTTATTAGAGGGTTACCCATTAGGATTTAACTGCCCTCATCTGGTTCAATATTAAATAGTACAGTATGCAAAATGTTCTAAATAATTCCTTATTACTCTGAGACTGATTTACCAGGATTTGGAACATCAGGTAGATGATTTATAGACCAAAATTAAAATAAATGACAGTATTTTTGTTTCAGAAGATGTACTAAATTTTCTGAAGTTTTACCTCCTAATTATCTCCCTTTTCGTAAAAAATAAGTAAATTTCCAGTAAGTTGAAGTTACTCTACACAATTTTTGAACTTGTCAAGCATAAAGAGAGAAGGTGCAAGTAATGGGTCAAATGAGAAAAGGTAGCATAGAGCTTTAAGTGTCCAGTTTACTTCATGTCACAATTTGTTTGTACACAAAAATTTCAAGAAGAAACTACTCTTAGTGAATGACTTAGGTTTAAAAAACTTGATTTAAACAATGCCTATCTTGTCATTCACTTTATATCATCCTTGTAAAATTTTATTTCACCAATGAAGTGATAAGTAAGCTGACTGTATCAGCCTGTTTCTATTTTGTATTTTATTTTGATTTGATGTCAGAATATCATACCGCCAGTGCTAATTGTTATAGGTGTTTAGAAGAACTTGTTATTTTTAAGTACATTATGACAAAGTGCTTTCCAATAAATCCATTTTATGTTTTTTTAGTGATTTAAACTGAAACATTCCAATTTCGCTTGGTTCAATCCCATCTCATTCAATGTGCTGTGATTTGGCTGATAGAAGGTTCATGACATATCATCCTGGAAAAGTTGCACAGATACACCAGTGTTAACAGTGTTATGACAAATAAGTGTTAATGTCAACAATTTTCTCACATGGTCTTTCAAGTTTTAACAAATTGCTTTTATCATTATGTAACAACCTACTGACTCTTACTTGGACCTAATCTCAAAGAATATACTACAACTCTTATCATCCCTCATGGTCCTTTTTAGCTTTTCAAGAAATATGACACACATGTGCTTAAAAATTAAAGCAATCACATAGGTTATCAAGTGAGATGTTACAGAGCGGGAACTTATCATACCTTTGTTGTCTTCTGAAAAAGGCATCAAGTAAGATATCTCATCGCTTACACAGAGCTCCAGTCAGCTCTATATTTCATCCGATTTTTATCAGTCTTTCTTTCTGCTCGTTTCTGTCGTACACCATCAGTTATTCTTAGATATACCATGAGATCTGTTTTGGCATGTAGAGACTTGGTCAAATGAATAGCCATGTCAGATATTATAGGATTTTCCATTGTTAAGTAACTAATAATGCCTAATACATAGAAATCATGTCAAGCCTTTTCATAGGTTGTTATAATTTAAATGTAATTATAGTTTAATCTGAATTTGCTTAAGCTAATTACTTGATGATTTTATTGTACAAACATTCAATGCCTAACTAACAGATGAAATCAGAAAATTTATATTACATCATTGTTTTCTTCAAGAAATTTTGAATTGTTTCAGCTTTTGTTTTCCACTTATACATATATTATCATGTAGATTTATTTCTATAACATTCCACACATGATAATGCAGGTTTCTTCACCATAATACATTTAAACATTTCCCTTTAGTTTTAATTTAGTCTATATATACCCTGTATATATAAATATATATGTTTGTGATTGGTGAATGTTAAGTCAGTTTTTCCAAAGTTAAACAAATTAGGGACCATGTTATAATGCAGTAACCAATAGTTAATTATACTATTCATTTATTTTTAGATATTTTGCGAAATTTGAGGAAAGATGTCATTGTTATTGTTTCACTGTTTTGATATTTTACACAGAATAGCTCTTTTCTTTTTGAGAATTTTTCTGATGTGAAAGCATTCATGTGATAGACAAAACAAAACTTAAAATGTACGCAGGATTCATTCCATGAAAAAGGTTTTTTGCTATTGTTGATTATAATAATGCCATGAAATAAATTTTGTCCAAGAGAAATATTTTCTTGTGTCCAAAGGACAGGGAACAAAATGTAAGTTCCACCATGGATGGCAGTTATGTATAAACAATAAAATTTTATATAGACATTTCTAATGTTTGTGATTTTCTCTTATATATAAATCACATAATTATGGGTTTTAAAGCAATTTCTGCTCATGAAAAATTGAAAATGAAATTCCATTCCAGCATTCATTGATATCTGCTGTGACAATGCAGGTAGATAATCATGACAAGGAAGTTGCAGCTTGACAGTTTGTGCTGGAGTTATGTCCCTTTGAGCTCCAGAAACCTTTTAAGCATAATTTCTACATCAAGTTTATATATTTTTTGTAACTTATTGATGTACAGAAAGTATATCAAAACTATGCAAATATGTCTGGAGGAGTTACATCAGAACTCGGCGTCCATCTGCTCCACTCCTACACAAGATATTTGGTCTAATTGTAACTTAGCAGGTGGATGTTCTGCTATAGCTATATAACTCCTGATAGAAGAAAATGTGAATACAAAGAATAATAGAAATTATAAAAGAGCATGTTCAGATTTTCATATATCAAAAGAATGATGCTAGCCCACCACCATTCTCTAAGTGGGCTCTTTAAACCCCTGTGGTTCATCTAACATCGACCAAATCTTGTTAATCACAGGTTCTCAAATGATGGGAAGGAATCTCTTCCAGATATATAGGTAATGAATTCTGAAGATAAAAAAGATAAGATAGAACATATATCTAAATATCACATGATAATGGACATCGTGGTCTTTCTGCGATCTCTTGTTTGCTAATTTATATTTCATGTACCACAAGTGGGTAAATCCCAATTAGGTCAGGATGACTATCATGAAAGCTTTTGATTGTACCATAAAGATAATAATGTTGTGAACGAACATTTGAACACGAGGAAGATGGGATTGGATATCACGTAATAGGGTGTATTGACAGACGAGGCTAGTATTTGTATTGATATCAACAAAAAGCAGTGGACATCAAGACTTTGTACTGCGTATGATTTCCGTTTACACGTGTGATAGTGGAGAAATGCATGGTATGGCAAGGGTTCGAACCGCAGACCATTAGAATCGTAAAAGGACACGCTACCTATTCGACATCGATGATTACACTTCATTCTTTCTTGCTTTTTTAAGTCTTCGCCTCCGAAGACACAATTGTTTACAACCACGGTTTGGTAGCCCCTTTCCAAGCATTCTCTATTTCAAACTTTGCGGTTTTAATTCATAGAGATGAACTCGTCCCCTCCCTCCCCCTCCCCCACCCATTGACTGACGTGTAAGCTGCTGTTTCGTACCTTCTCCCCATCCTTTAATTGCAACAGTCATGTTGTATTTAAATTGTACAAATTGTGCCAAGATTTGATGTAGTATTCAAAGGCTTGCTATTTTTTTTTCATGTTTTCCGAGACAAATTGGCATTTACTGTCGAATATATTTACAACATAAGGTTTGGAGGCACTAAACTGATAAGTCGCATTAAGTTGTATTATCGATCATAATATCTTTGGAAATGCATATACAAATTACAAATGTATGTTCTCCATTTCTTGGTCAAAGAGATATCCAGTTTGACACTTCTAAGAGTTTATCTACAAAGAGTTCATTTGTCAGTTACGAAGGATATCGTCAGACCACGCCTCTGCTTATATTTTGTCCATTCTTTTTCATAATTGCTGTCTTGTTTACAAGTTATATTTCCCGTTCTCTCTGACGCCATTCTTCAATAGAAATGCATATAAGTAACTTAAGTGATAACGAAAGAAATTTCCAGATTGTTTTTTTTTATTTACAGTTCACATAAATTTTCAAATTTTAACTAAAATCTGCAAGATATTAAACAAAATTTCAATGATATGTACACAAAGTAATAATGTTAAACGTGAAACGATTGTATCCATATACAGATTTGGAGATCATTTATAAGAGATTTGCTTTTTTTCTTTGCTTGACGAGTTACCGAAATGAGGAAAAGGTTTTTTCTTTACCAAACCTTTATACCTGAATATGTTCTATTTTCCAAGTTGTTAAAAACAATAATTATATATATATAAACACGAATAAAACATAACGTCCATGTGTATTTATATAACAGAAAAAAGAAAAACACAATTTCCCTTCACTGTTCTTTCATTCACTCTCATACTTCTTAAATACCGGACTCTCATAATGTAACATACTCAACTTGAATTTTATAGTTTGATTATTTGTTACTTTTTATCATAAAAATAAAGCACACAGAAGATAGGACCGTAACAAGACTATAAGTCTGGATCTTGGATGTCATCTAATGTACAATTATCTCCCACTCCGAATGTAAAATTCAATGAGGACAGATGGTGAGTGACTTTACAAAGGATTGTAGCCAAGAAGGGTGAAACAGTTTAATTCACTGTCTTGCTCTACTCTATCTAATTCTGAATTGAAATGTGCTATTTATTTGTGCTTTTTGTACAATCTTTGAGGAGACAAACTCGACCAGTTTCGTATGGCCTGGCTTGTTTAATGCGAAATGCGTGCCAGCGCTCAGAATCAAATCACCAGAAACTCTCTTGAATCGATGTTATCCAAAATCATAGCTCTACTATGTGATATATTAAGACAAGGTAAATTACCCATACATCACCTGTCAAGGTGCTTACACATAATACCTTCTGTAAAAAGGTTATTCAAATTTTTATGATGTTATCACAAACCTGAAACATAGAATCCTTTAAAAACTTTTAACTAACTGGACATGTTTGATACTCATTAGCTTGCTTGTTGGTTTTGTTGTTGTATAACATGTTTTTATTTGACATTACTTACTTGGATTGACCAAGATTTACATGGCAATTGTCGTCGATGAAATAGAAGGCGCTTACTCTTCTGGAACACCTTGTCTTTTTTCCTAATTCTTTTTCAGTTCTGATTATGATTATGTCGTCAAGTTGGTATTTTCTTAACAGGATATCTGACAGTAGGTAGCGTACGACCTAATGACGTGATGTAAAGGTGACATTTTTGGAGGTTTCACATTTCTATGGTTTATTCTGAATGTTTTAATGAAAATTATTATGTTTCGTTTGAACTGATCAAGAAACAGACTAATGGTTACCCTATGAATTTTATTTCAAAGTTTATTTTAGCAATGTCTTATAACACCGGAAAAAAGCGAAACGTAAAACCCATAAACAGCAACCTTTGTAGTAGATGAGTTAGATGGAGTTTGTAGCGTTTTTATTGATGTTCTGTCGTACAAAAATATATGATTTAGTAACTATGGCGAAGTAAACAATAAGTAAACTACATTGTCAGTTCTCGTACTAACTGTGGCGGAGGTCGAGGGACCTCGTCTCGACGTAAACCAATTTGAGAATCGTCATGTGATTTGCCCAGGGCCTTCGGCGGACCGAGGTTTGCAAATCGGTCAGTTGGATTCTCAATGTAAATGTCTTCACCGTCTCTATGCATGACACTGAACAACAAAGTGGTCCGTCCATTCTTCTTTGAGACAGTGTTTGAATCCTTACTCTCTAGGTTCTGTTTGATTGGCTGCCGAGGAGATTGCTTTGAATTATATTGGTTGTAGCTGTATTTCATCTTCACATTTGTTTCAGTCTTACTCATAAGTTGTGATAGCCTAGTTTCTAATTTCTTTTGATAATATTTAAACTCCAATACAAAAAGTTTTTCTCCGAGTTCGTAAGATCGTATCTGTCTGTCACATTCCCTTGTAAGGTCTCGGTGTTGGCGATAGAGATGACCTTGCCGTGCTTGATTCCTCATGGATTCATATTTAACATTAGTAGTTATATCGAAATCCAATGTTTGGATGGCACTTTCGGTGTCATCTTTGATTTTTCGACCGGAGTAACCTTGTTTTGATTTCTGCATCCTTCTAATGCTATTTTAAAAGACTACTTCGTCATTTCTAGGTCTTCTATGTTGTCAGGTTCCTGAGCTGGGTCTGCCTGAAACAGGAAGTGATACACTGATACTTAACGTAAAAAGTTTCGTATTAAACTGTTTTTCCTGATTTTTATTTTAATTCAAATTTGCGTGGCTTTACTAAAAGCTTAACGCTGAGGGGATGTTTTTTTCGAGGGAGTCATGCAATGGTCTAATGTTTCCTTTATTTATTTCGTTTTAGAACATACTATTCACTTGCATGTCTTTAGTATAATTTTCGTGGTATTTATTTTTCGTGGCTTTAGCTTAAAAATAAAAATTACTTAAAAGAGGAAAATGGTTGCATTAGTGAAATCTTACGTAAGCTGTTTGATGTGTATAATAATATCTTTCGAACACCTCGATGAATTCTGATTTTTTGAGGGATCATGTTACAATTAATACAATGGAAATGTTCAGTACCTTATTATGTTACATGTCGACATTTAATTCAAAGAAATAAAAATATTTTATCTGAATAGAAAATTGATCTTTCAAAAGAGGTAATATTTCAAAGGTTTGGTATAATGAATAATTTTCAAGAATTACGGAACAGCTGTATGATGCAGTTTACTTCGTGATATAGTACTTCTGTATCAAATTCTAAACAACAAATCTTATAATGGATTGAATTACGTTCTACTAATCTATTATGTTATCTCAAGCAAACATATGTATATGTTTGTATATATTTTGCGAAATTAAAAGATAAAATTTGAAAAAAAAACTTCCTTGTTGAGAAAAATTGACAATTAATCACAAAACATATATTACTTCGTATTTCAGAGAACTTTTATTGATCTATAATTGATTACAAATAGCGATGTATAATATATTGATTTCATGACAGCAGGGAGTCGTAACGTTTAACACCCGTTCGGATCGATTCAGAAGTGCAATCAGTTGAATCGATACGACAGGTTCTTAATATTCTTATTTATTTATGAAGCCAATGTATGTTAAGATTATTATCAAACAAGAACTACCTAAGTGTGTTGTCTTCACTACGAGACGGTATGTTGTTTATCGGTGGAGTAGTTTAGCAAGTCATGCCAACATGTCACAAAACAAACATACCACTCCAGGTGGAAAACACTCTCCACATGTCAATGGTTCTCACTATACAGATCGGTATAAGGCGCGGTCGCTGACGCCATCACTCACAAGTAGGTAGTCAGATTGAGAGTTATCAAATAATCAGCCTGTTATTGAGTGAATTCTCACATGTAATATTTTTGCACATGTGGAGTAAGATACGCCGGAACGTTTTTTTCATTAGCTGTGTAAACCAGAAATCGATTATAATCTCATGATACGCACAGTGAACGTACGTCATAAATCGAAAATGACGCAAGATGAGTGACAACGTTTGATTTCGTCCACCGCATTTTTATCTTAAAAATTGTCAAAATGTAATTGTTTTAGTTATGTGATAAAGAGTAACCAAGGTTTGTTTCATTTCAAACGAGATTTTAAGAAACTCGTCTCAAAGTTTTCAGTTTTGCTAGCCAAGGCTCGCAAACATTAAAAATTAATTTATTTTCTTGAAATAAAAAACTCATATATTTTTTAAAATTAAAATATTAATTCTATACAAAGAAGTTTTTCAGTGTTATATGACAATTTTTAGCATTTACCTATATGTCTATTTCATATTATTACTTGGGGTTGTGTGTAACAATGATTGCTTTTATGTTTTGTGTACAGCATGTCTTTTCGTGCATTAAAATAAATGAACTTTACAGTATGTATAAACAAGTCACTGTCAGCACTGGATGTGAACAGATACACAGACGTATGTATTACACATCACAAAATCGCTGTAGAACATCTGCAAATAGCGCCAAGAAAAAACTTGACGCCATATGATGGGTAGTCTTTCACCCTTAATGCTGTTTAAAGTTACTTAATCACCATTTCTGTTATATCTGACAGCTCTGTATTTACCAATATCGAAATAATTTCATCGCGAGGCACATTCACTACTAAGTGGAACACTATTAACACAGAGTATATACCATTTCTTATAAACAGAAATTAGCGCCTGGATCGAATTTTAATTAGAGTCTAAATGACAAATGTATTAAAAACGATTTGAACAAATATTGAACGACGGTTAATAGAATGCCAATTACCTCGTTCAACTCATTAATTTCCTGCCACACAAAAATGAAATGCTACTACCCTACGCTTTCTTCCGGGCAACAAAGCGACATTTAAAGCGATTCTTACGTACATGTGTGTTCGGCATAGATTTGACTGGCACAATTCATTCCTATTAAATAAGCACACACTACCACCCCACCAACAGTATCGAATATCAGACAGGAGTTCCGGCGTCTGAGACTTAGTCATGCTAAATAATAGTTAATAGGCGATAAAAAAAATGTTTAAATGTGCTAGCGTTACAATCCGTAATCACTCATTCCTGTAATCAAGAAGGTTATAAAGTCATATATGAAATAGAATCATCTATCCAAGTCCTTTAAATATGACTATTTATAAAACAGAAAATCGGAGAGAAAAAACTATAATCAAAAGACAGAAACAGACAAATGATATATTAGCTCTTATTCTACTAATCTTAAGCGTATAAAGAGTAAAGCATGGAACTGTCGTGATATTACATTTATATTGGCAATAACTGCCATATCAAGACAATTATATATACTTCTCGGCTCATGTTGTTGCTATGTTATGCCGATTATAACTTTAATCGTGCCAAAATTAATTGTACATTATCAACAATGTAATCCGTTTTCTATGTCGACAATAGTATATTGTTCATCACGCACTTGATGTGATTTTTCGTATTTTAAAACAAATTCTTTTAATTAGTTTCTATCGTGACGTCATGCACGTGGATATAAATGATAATGGATTAGACGATAGTATATATTCTGCTATACTCACAACATTTGACTACACTGGCATGTTTCAAGTACATGTACCTACATATACCATTAATCAAGGATCGGAGTAATGCATTAATATGAAAACTATCCAAAGTGTCGTGTTCTAGATCAACACAAAAACAACAAGATACAAGCTATCCATAGCCGTGATATATCCTTGTGTCTCAGTACCAAAAAATATTTATACTGACAAGTATGTTCGACAGTCCACTCTAGTTGTTTCATTTGTATTCAAAAACGTGTAAAAGTAAATCCGGAACGTCTTTGTAAAGATTCTCCAATTAAAAGATAATATAAGATTCGTGTGACAACATTATCAAAACAGAATCGTGCTGAACGCTGCGATTTCAGCAAAATTTGGAACACCAATATATTGTGCCGTATTACAATAACTGTTTTCGGTATTGATTTCAAAATTTACAATTCATTACCTGTGCTCAGAATAACTCGCAACTAACCAAGGAATATTTATAACAAGAACACGTTTAAGAACATGTGGGAAAAGGGTATACATATACAAATATAAGAAAACACACACATTTGATTCAATATAAATTTAGACTACCAGAATATCTATACCTGGATTTTTTCAATAAACGCTTTTATATACCATGAACGTTTATATTCATAAAATGATTTTTATATAACATTAAACCTTATTTTAAAGTCTGGAAATTTAAGACATTTTATATATTCACAATTTGTGACCGATAGCCTTCTTACCTGGTCAGTATTGTTTGTCCATCTATAATTGCAGCCAATACAGATGTCAATCAGTGTGAAAGAAATCAGTTTCAATGTGTTTATGTCAGCCACAGTGTCCGTTTCTTTCCGTCGTTTTATGTATGTAGAAATCGACCGAGGCTCTAGTCAGTCCATTAACACTGCATATCAGCTACTGTAATCCGTTCATACAATCCGCGGTCCTCGTACCCTCTCAGTTGTAACCAACAAAATCATTGAAAATTGTTGACGGCCACACAGTACCGGGATGTCTCTTTAAGAGATTGATTTAAAGGAAGTGTGTATTCACATCCAGTGTAAATATTGACACGGTATTCATAACGTATGTATACTCCAAACAAAACTAAGTTCCCTATTATTTAACTTCTACACAAACACCCGTTAACGTATATATAACGTTTGTATGGTCACAAAAGTATAAGAATAAACCCCCATTGAAAGGAACGAATATAAATCAGTTTTTAATTTGATGTTATACCTATTATATAGTTTAATTAAAGCTATATATTCAATGTTTTGTTAAGGATTTTTGTCATTGAATGCAAAATTCGGGTTTTACACAAGTTAACATACAGACAGGTCTGTAATACTGGAGTAATCATAATATCATTCAAACTACATTTAAGAATTTGTAAATTCTGTACCATATAATAGCACCATGATGATAATGATTTGGAAATCACATGTAGTCAAAATTATAAAATGATAGCGTTCAATGGATCTTCAATTCGGCGCCGCGGATGTCTCCTTTACAATCGCATTAATTCCATTTCGCCACCGCCTCTTCCTCCAGCATTGCTGCTACAGTTGCTGCTGCTACTGTTACAACAACAACAACAACAACAACAACAACAACAACAACAACAACAACAACAACAACAACAACAACAACAACAACAACTACTACTACTACTACTACTACTACCTCTCCTATTACTACTACTACTACTACTACTACTACTACTACCTCTCCTACTACTACTACTACTACTACTACTACTTCTACCACTCCTACTACTACTACTACTACTACTACTACCTCTCCTATTACTACTACTGTTACTACTACTATTACTACTACTACTACTACTACTACTACTACTACTACTACTACTACTACTACTACTATAACTGCAACACTGAACTCCGGTGCTTCCTTCTCCCACGACGCAAAATATCTGTTATGCGCTATCTAATTCTCCATATTTTAATACCATATATGGGTACATTATTTTGTGTCCAAGTGTTTTCTTATCAGGCTAGTTTATTTCGATAATTTAACTAAACAGGGCAATGTTTTCTCACTAGTCCGGCAAAACACCATTGAACTGTTTTACTTAAATAATAC